TGGGGGAATGCCACCTGCCAGAGCTATTGTTACTTTGTTTTCGGGAAGCATTGACAAGCTGAATAAAGCTGCTGCAGAGTTCTCTCTTGACTCCATACTTCCATTTTGCAAGATTTCGATTATAGTTGGTATTGCTTCTTCATTAGTTATGAGTTTCCTATTAGACTCATCGATGGATAGATTCAACAAGGCTGTCACAGCATGCTCTTGAATTATAGAATCTGGATAGGACAGCAACTGCACCAGTGGTGGGATCGCTCCACATTTAGCAAACAAAACTCTGTTCTCGGGGTTCTCTTTGGAAAGCATACGAATATCCTTTACTGCCGTTCTCTGCACTTCTAATTGACTGGAAGATAGCTCCCCAACCAAAAATGAGATTTTCTCTATGTGTTCTGCAGACGAGCACTCGGAAGATGCAAGATCCTCTTTCTTGGGGACCTTGAAATTGTTCTTCTCACACCATTCGGTGATCAGGTTCTTGAGGGCATAATTTGGCGCCAGTGACAAGTGATCTAGAGTCTGCCTGGTCTTTGGGCAGGTGCGATGGTTAGAATCAAACCATTTCTGTATGCTTTCTCTTTCAAATGTCTGAATTTGGATGGAAAACAATGAAACAAGAGTAAATTGACCAGTTTTCCATTCGCATAACATCATGGTCTAGTAAGGTGAATGACATAAAGAAATTCAGGATAAAAAAATATTAAGGAAAAGTATAAAAGAGTTCACTTATGCTCTAAAAATATAAGATAAAAGGAGAATTAACTTAAGATATTGGACCCTTTTTATACGGGTTGTCTTATACGTATCTATCTGTACAGATCGTATGCATATAATCCTTTTGTGTGTGTGACTCATACTCTTAAGTTAATTTGCCTTTACAAGCATTGTGTCCTCCAGAACCAGTTTACAAAATTGAATTCAGCGCATGGATATCACATTACCTGTCCACTTGCAACAACAACAGGATCTGACATTAATTCAAGTGTGATTGGACAGAGGAACTCAGGAGGGATTATTAAAGATTGGGACTTCACCAACATTTTAGGCATGACAGGATCATCAAGTATATTTGTCACTTCCATGCCTAATATTTGCTTGAATTTGTTGAGAAGTTCTATGATTTTCTGTGTAGACTCTGAAGTTTGGCCTCTTTCTTTAGCAAGATTCCTCACAGATATACTTTCGATCTTCAAGTCCTCCACGGAATGCAGATCTAGCTTTTTGGCTAGCCTTTCTATTATGGCTATATCAGCATTCGTTTCATCAGTTTTTGAGGATACCACCATCAAATCTACTGCAAGTTCTATATCCTGTGTATCTGTTCTCTTTTTAGCTCGATTTAATTGTTTTTGCATTAGCTCAACCTGAATAACAACCGCAAGACAAAAATTCTTAGAATAATTTATAAATTCTAAACAAACATGATGTTTGAATAGAGCAAAACAGTCATTAATTAAAATCTCTAAAACCCTGAATAATAACTTATCTTATTCCGTGGAGGCTAAGTAATGTTATCTTGCACATTGAAACCCTAAAAACGTGAAAAGATGACAAATTCAACTCATCCTCAAACTGTCAAAGCTGGCGTTAAAAGGCAACAAGATATGATGCTGGCAATTAGTTAATTTTGGAGCCATTTTCATCTTAATGGTTTTTGTTCATTGTTTTGTACTAACCAGCACTATCTTATTCTTTTTATAAAGAAATTTGGTTTTTCAAAAAAATAATTTAACTTATCCTATCAAATTTTCCCATCTTATACTTCAAATGCCAACTGTGGGCAACTGTTGATGCGTCTATCTTTTTTAGCTATGAGATTAAGATGACTGAAGGCATCCAGTACAGTTTTCCTCTCAGAAAAATCATTCGAATGCAAGAAAATAAGAGGAAATTTCCGTACCTGTTCCCTCACTTCGTCAGAAACCTCAAGGTCATCGAAAGGCAACTCAGCCAAAGCCTGGCTTAATTTTTCATAAACAGTGTGAAATTTGATCATCATAGTCTCAGTCTCCAACGCCTTAATGACAAAAGAAAGCCTTAAAATAAGTAACAATGAATAAGAATTTCTGAGTTTATTGTATATAAAAGATAAACTCCAAATATGAAAAATAAAACAACCTATTTATTTTAAAGAGCTCAAAATTCAAAAGCAAATTACTAAATTAAGTTGCCTATTGAATTTGTTTAAAATTTAAATTAATTGTCGTTTATCGTCAACATCTCTTATTTAATATAAAATTAAGAAATAACAAAAATAAGGAATCAAGGTTTTTGGTTTTGAATCGAATCTTGAGCTCTTTGAGATGGATAGGCTGCTTTGTGTTGATATCAAATGTACAAACATAGGTCCTCACCAGATAAATCTTGCTACCTTCATTGCAAGTTTTCAGTAGTTTCTTTGCCAAACGAAGTGCTTTCTTCAACTTTGACAAAGAAACGATGGCGTTCTGGGTAATCGGGAAACCAAGGTCCCGAATCTCATCGAATAATGGCAACAAAATCTTCATACGCCTGACGAGGTTGTAACATTCTCTTCTCTGCGTCCTTCGGTAATCTCCAAACCGAGCAGCAGATTCAATCAGGCTCACTGTTTCCTGAACCAAATCAACAGTTTCCTCTCGCGCGTTTGGTGAATTCGTTTCATTGTCTTCCTCCATGGTCTCCCATCCTCCATCTTCACCATCTCCATCTCTCTCTCCATCCATCGCCATCTGCAGTTTGTCCCCCTCCCTCGACAACTAGAGGGGCTGTCTATGGCTTTTCTCTTTGCAAGATGTTTGTTTGCAGACTAGATATGTCCAGTTATGGCTTCGAAATAGAAAAATGTAAAACGTGAATCATCTGCAGAAATGAAGAGGGTTGAGGGAAATCAGAGAAGCATAAAACCCTAACCCCGGTTTCCATGAATGCTGGTGTTCCCTGTGTTTTTTGGTCCCTGTAATCTCTTTGCGTGCATTCCGGGTCTGTTACAATAACCTTCGCGGGGGTTTTGGTTCTTAAAATAGAAACCCTTTTGAAAGTTTGTTACCCTTTCATGGACAGCCATGGTTTGCTTTGTTACCCTTTTGATATGGCGTAGCTTCATCTTTCCTTTGTTCAATTTGTTTATGTTTGACAAAAACAAAGAGAATAGCAACATTGTTGAAGATCCTCCATGACCCTTTTTTTCTAATTCAAATTAAGTAGGAGATAATTAGTTAATTGGTGTTCAATGACTCCTTTACTATTAATTACTTCCAACTTCAGTCAATAAAAATAAAAAAATAAAAAAAGGGAGAGTGATTTGTTTACAAGGAAAAATTATACAATATCCGACACGGAAAGAAACAAATTATGACATAAGATATTGATACTTATATTATATATATACCTTTTGTTCCATATATTTTACCTATACAAATTTGGTATCATGATTATATACATCAAAATATCAAATATTAAAAATTAAACTAAATTTACCAGTGCTAAAAGTGTTAAAAGTAATTAGTAAAAAGTAAAAAAATAAAAATAAAAAGCTTGTGTTGAGTCAAAATATCAAATATTAATGGCTATTAACCTGTAATAGAAAATATAGTTTATTTGTTCCACAAGCAAAGGAATGAACATATATAGTATTTAATTAGGCTTAAAATATTCCTGCCATCCGTACCCCCTCCAAAAACCTAATGCTCAGTTTAAATATATATATAAGTGTTAATTTAAATGGAAATAAGGGTTGATCATTCAAAGTTGAAGTTCGTTAAGGCGCGTATAAATCATTCCTCATCCCTCCTATTAAATGGAAACTTTTGTAGGGTAATGGGCAAGGCCAACGGCTTTCTCGATTATTTCCATTTTATAATTAGTAAATCTCTATTTTATTTGTTTGTGAAACAATAAGCACTGGACTGGACTGCTAAAATTTGCCAGTGCCAGGCTGCCATCCCTCCTCATTGTCGGATGACTGTTCAGATTATTCAAGACCGTATCAGTCAACGTAATCACGAGTCTCTCCTTTTCACTGTTTCTCATCACATACAAAATCTCCTACCTCTTTTATCTCTTGACCGTCTAATTCAACTATTATTTCGATGTGTATTGAATGGTCTCGTATTTGTAAAATCAAACTAACCAAATTTACACAAAAATCTTAAAAATAAAATTAATAGAAATCAATTACTACCTGTTGATTATAATATTGATCATCACTTTTTTTAATAATTTTCAACAATATTTACAATAACGATTTTCTTTAAAAAATAAGTAGGATTACCTATCTCTACATTTTAATATAAATAAATTTAACTTACAAAAAATATTATTGTTTTAAAATGTTCAAATATATAATATAAAATTATATTATTAATTACTGATTTGTTTAATGGATTCAATTGTAACTTTTGAATATAAAAAATCAATAAAATAAATTGAAAAAAAATCGATATCTCTAATCAATTTAAGAACCAAAACTTATTGAATCGATTATTTCAATTTCAACTGAATTCTCTCCTTAGCTCTAAAATCAACTCTATAATAACATGTGGGAGGGTTTTGTGGGTTGCTTGATTGGACCCTGATTGATGATCATGGATTTCCCATCATGAATAGAAGGCAGTGTAGCCCTGATAGTTACAAAATCAAATCATCAAACGGTGGAGAAGACATACTGATGATATACATTTCCAGACAACGTGGCAGAATGTTACTGGTACGTCATAGAGAATTAAGGTAAAGCAAGCAGTGGTAATGTTATCAGTAAGAATTGAATAAGACTAGTAATCAAGCGAAAAAAGGGTAGCTTTTTAGGTAGAAGGAAAAATGTTGCTCCTACTAGAAAAGAAAATAGAAATAAAAAAGGAAAATTTTGAAAGCACATGGTAAGCTAACCGTTAAGCGCACACAGAAGAACGCGACTTTCCATCTATAAGATCGGACGGCTAGGATTTACTAGCCGTTAGTTTTAAAAATGAAGAAAGGGCATGTGCGGACATATATCCGCTCTTTGCGTCTCAATTTTCCCTTCATAATTTCGTCTTTTCCCGTGCAAAACCCCCCAAAAAGCCTGAACAAGAAGAGAAAGAGAGAGAGAGAGAGAGAGAGAGAGAGAGACAGAGAGATCACTCGATCGCTGCTCAAGCCTCAAATGTCATTCTCTTGAGTAATCTCTCTGTTCGATTTCCTTTTTCGGTGACGTGAAAAATCTAAGGAAACGGGGTTTTGGAATCTGGGAGTGGCGAGAGATCAACAGGGAAACTCTTGTGTGAAAGGTTCTTGAAAATTATCCTAATTTAATAATCTGCTGATCCTCTTTCTTTATTGGGTCTTTACCATTTCTTTCAATTTAAAAATTTCAAAAAAATGGTTTTTTTTTTATTTTTAATTTTGATTGAAGGGCGGTCTTGATGATCTTTGTCTGGAGTTCAGGGATGCCTATATCAAGTGGATTCTTATTGTTTATAGCTGTTGTTTGTAGATACGGGAGAAATGGCTGGATCGGATGAGAACAATCCTGGAGTCATCGGACCGTCACATCTTCAAGGTGCTTAATTCAACCCCATTTCCGTAACCTCTCTTTTTATGTTTAGAAAATTTTTCGAAATTTAAGTATTAAAGAAATGTTTTTTCTTTTTAATTTGCAATGAAAGGGGGTTTGCGTGCCAGAGAAGGTGGGAAGTTTGTGGCGGCCACTGGGCAGAATCGAAGAGCATTGAGCACTATTAATCGGAACGTGATTGGAGCTCCATCTTACCCTTGTGCAGTGAACAAAAGACCTTTATCTGAGTGAGTACTTTCTTAAATCCTCTCTGTTTGGTTGCTGAGAAAAGAAAAGAAAGTAGATCTTTTTGAGTTAGCTATTGTTGGTTTTGTTTCTGATTCCTGAATGAGATTGAATAAATTATGTGTATGAAGAGTGGGGTTTGTCTTGGTATTTATGGGTCCAAAAAGGAGACTTTTTTCTTCATTTTTTAAAAATAGATTTCTATTTCTCTCTTTCTCAGCAGCAAGAAATTGAAGATTTATTATTAAAGCAAAGTTTTGATATTCTTTTTCCATTTTTTTCTTCTTGAATTCAGAAGAAATGCAGTCTGTAATAAGATCCCACCCATACCTGTGCATAGACCAATTACTAGGTCAGTAACTTTTTTCTTTAGTTTTATGATGTTTGCTTTGAATGCCAAAATATGTCTTCTCATGATCCGTTTGCTTATGATTCTTTCTATTCAGGAAGTTTGCTTCCCAGATGGCTAACAAGCAGCAAATCAAACCCCAGGTACCACTTTTTACAATGAAAGAATTTGGCATTATCCTCAATTATTCAGTAACATTAAATTATTGGTTAATTACATTAACAGGAAGTAAAGAAATCACTCCTGTCAGTACCATTTTCAAATGAATCCGAAGATTGCACCATTATAGATGTGGACGACCCTAAGGCAAGTAGTGACTCCGATGTGCCAATGTTTGTGCAACACACAGAAGCTATGCTGGAGGAGATTGACCGGATGGTATAGGACATCCCCCTTTACTGTAAACTCATCCATCAATCAATCTCATGCTTTTCTTCAGAATAGCAATGATTCTTTGTCTTCCCTGCAGGAGGAGGTTGAGATGGAAGACGTGGATGAAGAGCCTTTTTTTGACATTGATATTTGTGATAAAAAGAATCCGCTTGCAGTTGTTGAGTACATTGATGATTTATACAAATTCTACCGGAAAGCAGAGGTGACTAGCTTTCTATTTTCATTGTTTTATTCGAACAGAAAGAGGGGGAGAGATGAAGCCTTCTTTTTGCTAGTCAATATTTTTAGTTCTAGTTGATTTGATGCTCAATTGCAAACATTTATTAGTCAGCATTTTTGGAGGGTTGATTTTCTGAACCTGTTTGTGTAATTTTTGCAGTGTACTGGTTGTGTTCCTCCAAATTATATGGCGCTGCAATGTGACATTAACGAGAGGATGAGAGGTATCCTTATTGACTGGCTGATAGAGGTATGCAAACTGTTGCACAAATGGACTTGCATTGGTTAGGAAGTGAATTAGGTAGAATCCTGGTAATTGAAAATCCATCATTAATGAGCATTATGGAATGACAGGTTCACTACAAGTTTGAACTGATGGAGGAGACCTTATATCTGACAGTAAATCTAATCGATAGATTTTTAGCGGTTCAACAAGTAGTGAGAAAGAAACTTCAGTTGGTTGGAGTAACAGCCATGCTTCTTGCCTGCAAATATGAAGAAGTTTCTGTTCCTGTTGTAGAGGATCTGATTCTGATTTCTGACAAGGCCTACAGCAGAAAAGAAGTGCTGGACATGGTTTGTAATTCAAGATTGAGTTTTCATAATTTCACCCCTATTTTTTTTTTAACACCACTCAATCAGAAATAGGAATGACCTGTATTGCCTCTTGATTTGCAGGAGAAACTGATGATCAATACCTTACAATTCAATCTATCTTTTCCTACACCGTATGTGTTTATGAGGAGATTTCTCAAAGCCGCTCAATCTAACAAGAAGGTTTGTGACAACAAAACATTGCCATCTTTGTATTTATTATCCAGCAATATTGTTAAATGAATCTGAGATGACGTTAATTTGTGACCTTGATCCAGCTTGAGCTTCTGTCATTCCTCATGATCGAGCTTTGCCTAGTTGAATATGAAATGCTCAAGTTTCCACCTTCTTTATTAGCTGCTGCTGCTATTTTCACTGCTCAGTGTACGATTAGTGGGTCTAAGAATTGGACCAAGACCAGTGAGTGGTATACTGCCTACTCGGAAGAGCAGCTTACGTAAGTCTTAGTTTCTTTGTTCTACTGAATTAGCAGCAAATGTTTTGTTTCCAGTTAAACCTTACTGTTGTTTCTTGTGTTTGTGAAGGGATTGCTCAAGAATGATGGTTACTTTCCATCAGAAGGCAGGGACAGGGAAACTTACAGGTGTACACAGGAAGTACAGTACATCTAAGTATGGTTATGCTGCAAAAACTGAGCCAGCAACTTTTCTCTTGGAGGCTAGATTCTAGCACTGCTAAAAAGGCAATGATTGATCAAATCCTACTAACTAGGACTCTGAGGGGGGTGGGATGCCATTGAGCAACAACACAAAGTTGCCCCTGGGATATATAAATACTGACTTGGTGTTTGCCCTTTGAATTCGGCCTTTCGATTTACATTTTATTTGAACATAGCAGGAGGATGTTTGTTTCTTTTTCTCCTACCTGGAGATTAAAATAATTGTAAAACTGTTCCATCCAAATCTATATATATTTCATTTGTTGGATTTCTTTTGATGGTAAAGCAGCTTTTTAACTTCGCTTATTTCAGTTAGTACAAGCATTGAATTTTTATTTGTAAATATTGGAAAAAAACTCAATCACCAAGTCATCGAGATAATTATTTCACTCTCCAAAAGCAAAATGTTGCACCACAAAGGAAATTAAAATTGATAAAAAAAAATTATTTTCCGTTGCCGGGACTTGAACCCGGGTCTCTCGGGTGAGAGCCGAGTATCCTAACCAACTAGACTACAACGGATTTACAATGGGGTGTCAATACTCTATTAATTGATTTCTTACACATATTCATAAAATCAGGAGCTTCAAGTGCTTTTAACCTTCACCTTCTTCAATTTTAATAACATAATTATATATCATTTATCTATCATAAAATGAGTAATTTTTTTTATTAAAATAAATAATTTTCTGATTGAATAAAAGAGGTCACATTAAATTAAAAGTGAAAAAAATATGGATGAAAGCAGTTTATTAGTCCACAAATTAAAACTACAAACTATAACTATAAAATCTATTCCTACCAGAAAATAACGAATGGCAAAAGAAAAACGTGAAAAAGAAAGCAACGATCCTAATGTGGTCTGACTTCGTCAGCAGACAGACAGATAAAAAAAATCTGGTTGTGTTCTGTTACAGCTGCCGCGCACTCTTTCCCACGTTTCAACATCTGTCGCCAACACCAAATTTTAGCCATAAATTCAATTCATTTCCAAATCCTTGAGAGTTCCACTTGGAAACAAGATTAGATTCTCAAAAGATCATCTTGCCAGATTAAGAAGAGCCCCCTCCGAATTCTTTAAACGATCAACTTTCATTTTCATTTGATCCAAAGTATCTCCCTTCGTTTTATGGTCCTGTGAATATTCTTACAGGTAAATTAAATAACAGAAAAAATACCCACCATGAATACTTTGTAAAAACCTGATATTTTTCTATTGTAAGCTAAAGCTGTTACCGTCGCTTCCCATCTCATAATGTCTTGTATTTGTCTGTTCTTTGGACTTTCGTGGGTGGGCTTATTTTTAAGGTTATCTTTGGAGATTTTTTTGCGTATTGGTCGTATACTTGGATAAGAATGTGGTGTAGGATTGATAGCGAGCTAACAGCAGCTGTTGGCTGTAGATTTTTTGTCAAGTTGGACGATTCCAGCGGTTTCTGGGTACCTCTTAGATAGCGATGGTTGAACCTTTACTGATTAAGTTTTAACTTTTAACCCCCAAAGTTTATCAATTGTCAGCATCTTTTTTTGGAGAAATTCAAGTCTCGAATTTGTATTCTAATGTGTTTTAGTTTGATTAATTACAATATAAGATTGTTATTTTCGTGCTTTGATGAAAGCTTGTCCTTTTTTGTATTTTTATCAGATAGAAAGAAGGTGGTGATATCTCCCTTACTATCTCAGGTTCCTATAAATACGGCTGATTTATTAGCTTGAGTTTCAAGTGAGTGAAAAGAATTGGTTTTTCTATTAGGAAAGATTATGGAAAAGAAAGAAAAAAAGTTCCTCACGGTAGCTCCTTTTGAGTGTGCTTGGAGAAAAGATTTGAAATTCCGGGAAGCTGGCAGAGGGTGTGTAGCATTTGATGCTTTTGCACACAATGATGTTACAGTGGTGTTTAGGGAGAATGTAGGAAGTCAACACTACCATTATAAGAGGGATAACAGTCCGCATTATACTGTAATCATTGGTAGCCACAGGAATCGTAGATTGAAAATTGAGGTGGATGGGAAAACTGTGGTTGATGCAGCAGGTGTTGGCCTATGTTGTTCTTCAGCATTTCAGAGTTATTGGATTAGTATCTATGATGGATTGATTAGTATCGGTAAAGGAAGATACCCTTTTCAGAATCTTGTGTTCCAGTGGCTAGATTCAAATCCAAATTGTAGCGTTCAGTATGTTGGCCTTAGTAGCTGGGATAAACATGTAGGCTATAGAAATGTTAATGTGTTGCCCTTGATGCAAAATCATTTGTTGCTGTGGAAGCAAGTGGATTGTGGTGAATATAATGGTGACGATGATGGTGATGAGGAGTTGGAAAATGAAAAAATGGGCCATGAGAAGTGGGGACTTGAAAATTTTCTCGAGAGTTCGGAATTATCTGATATGTTCTTCATTGTTGGTGAGGAGGAAAGGGCTGTCCCTGCTCATAAGGTTATATTGCAAGCATCTGGAAACTTTTCTCTGAGCTTATCAGATGGAGATGTAGTTCAGCTACAGCATGTAGCTTATCCAATTCTTCATGCGCTTCTTCAATATGTATATGCGGGCCAAACACAGGTATCCTTTGCGTTTCCTCTATGGGGTCCACTGTTATTGGCATTCACTATCAGTTCAAAAGATCTATTCCAGTTTCTCTTGTCCCAGTTTTTCTGATTTCTTGCTTCTGTTTGACATAGATTTCAGAGACACAGCTTTGTCCCTTGTGGACTCTGAGCTTACAGTTTGAAGTGATGCCATTAGTGAAGCAATGTGAGGAAGCAGTGGAGCGGTTTAAAGTAAATAAAAAGTTGTTTGACTCAGGAAAGAATGTGGAGTTATCATATGCAAGTTCTCAGCCCCATTCTGGGGGAACCCTCTCCTTTGGGCACCCGATAAACATGCAGAGGCTCCAACAATTGCGTTCAACAGGCGAGTACAGTGACATTAACATTTACATTGAGGGTCAAGGTCTCGTTGCACGGGCTCATAAAGTTATTCTTGGCTTCTATAGTGTCCCATTTGCAAAGGTGAGCACCTCATGCCTCCTATGGATTATGCTGTAGAAAATTGTACAACAAAAATTAAAGATATAGACAATTCTCTTTTGCAGCTATGAGATCTCACCACAAGAAATTGAAGTCTATTAAATGAAATAAATTTTACTTTCAAATAGAATATATTATCCAAACTTGACTGAACATGTACTAGCTTCTGTTTCTTTTCATTATTATTTATTTAAGGTTGAATTTATTGGTTAAAGAATTTTTCTTGTTTGGTTTTCCGTGCTTCGTCATAGTTCAAATAGCTTCAAGTTTATGTATAAAAGAAAGTTATTGTTGGGGGGCTCATGTCTTCTCTTCAATTTCTTCAATGTTTTGGTTCTCAGTTTGGTTGTGTTGACAAGATTTGCCTCTAATATAATCAGTTGTCATGCAGATGTTCACAAATGGAATGTGTGAGAGCAACACGCCTGAGGTCTGTTTAAAAGATGTGTCTCCAGAAGCATTGAAGGCTATGCTTGAATTCATGTACAGTGGGGAACTCCGTATTGAGGATACTGAGGACTTTGGTTCCTTGTTACTCCAGCTTCTTCTATTGTCTGACAAATTTGGAATCTCTCTTCTTCATCAGGAATGCTGCAAAATGCTTTTAGAATGCCTCTCAGAGGTAGTTTTAGTATCTATAGCATATTAAATTATTTGATTTGGTGGTTTTTGTTAGAGCCATGCATTTATTTTTGTCGCCACTGTCTCATTATGTTTTTTTTATGAATAGAATTAAAAGAACGAGGAAGTGACTTGCGGTATCGGAGTTCTGAAAACAAAAGAAGAGACCCCTTTTATAATAATGAATTTTAAATATTGATACCTTTCATGTACATATTACATGCAGGGATGGAGTTCTCCTAGTGGAAGAGGGTCATACAACAAGAGTTTTTCTATTATGCACAAGTTTAATGGACGAGGAAGCAGACAAATTTGGCAAAGTAATTGGGCTGTTGCTTGTGAAGCTAACTGTTGAACTTTGTTGCAGGGCTCTGTCTGTCCAATCCTCCAAGTGGTTTCATCAATCCCATCATGTAAACTTATCGAAGAAACTTGTGAAAGGAAATTTGCAATGCACTTTGACTACTGCACAACTGCAAGCCTTGATTTCATCTCTTTAGATGAGACAACTTTTAGGAATATTATTCAGGTGGGTTTCCACTTGTCAAATTCATATGTTTATTTGGCTAACTTGTTTTGGGGGTAATAACTGAGTGGATGATAGTGTAACTACACTAGAGTGAAATTAAAAAAAAAAAAACTACACTAGAGTGTGTTCTCATTTTAAAACCACAAATTCTCCAATAATTCTTAACTAGGAAGGGGCTCAAGTGCTCTATGTGAAAAGTATAACTTCCAAGTTGAATAGTGAGAACCTGTTCAGTGATGAGTCAGTGGTTCATGCTGCTACATTCTAGTATTTTTTTATTTGATAAATTGGACCAAAGTGGCAAGTCAGTTATATAGATAGAGATGGAGAAACTTAAAGATGTATGCTGAAGTTATCTGTATTGCTGGTTAATGCTCCTTTCGCTTATTTGATTGCTGGATTTGGGGCAATCATAAATCAGACCTATCTTTTGGTTGGTTTATGCAAGTTATAATTTAGATTTGGAGTTACATATGAGTGTCCCGCATGATAAGTTTTCTTATCTCTTATGATAAATCATGGATTTCTCGCAGCATCCAGATCTAACGGTAACATCTGAAGAAAGAGTTCTCGATGCAATTTTGATGTGGTGCATGAAAGCAGAGAAATTGTGTGGGTGGGAGGTGGTGGATGAGCTAATGATAAATTCAACTCCAGAAAGTCTGTTCAAGGATAGGCTTCAGTCAGTTGATGACTTGCTTCCATCAGTGCGGTTTTCTTTATTGCCATATCCCCTGATTAAGAAGGTAAGAAATCCCTGCATATACAGATATCTATCAAGCAGAGTGCTAAGAAAAGGACTATAGGTCAACTATCAACTTCTATTTTTTTCAATGATGTTGCAGTTGGAAAATACCTGTCTAAGCCGGCACATTTCTGCTTTTGGTGATCTTGTAAGTTTGTTGTTTCTCTTCAAGAAACCTTTTGGAAATGTGTTTGAATAGAGATTACTTTTTGTTTCCTCCAATACTAATGTCTTTATGTTAATGAAATAGGTTAAGGAAGCCATTAATTATAAAGAATGCAGAGTGACGATACATGGAAATGACCAGAAGTAAGTGTTTGTTCTTTTGCTCTTATACATCTTGATATCTTGCCCCTAAGGGGCTTGCATTCTGAATTGAAATGTCATTTTCACTACTGAGAAAATGGCAGTTAAAATTGAAAATCCGATACTTGTAGTGAAGAGAAACCAAGCTCTCTATAATCTCCTCACTTTCTTAGGGTTTAGCTTGCTTGCATTTAACCTCCCATCATTGATGCAAATACTGCTCTGACCATCAGGGCAGTTCCTTCGTCATCTTTCATTTTTTTCTTTTGAAAGAGCTAATCTAGATCTTTCTGAATGATGCTAGATGTATTTAATGGAAGATCTTTTAGATATATCTCCATTCTGCTTGAAATGCATTTCCAAAGATGTGCAATGTTCTTGAGCAATGAATTGGCTAACATTGTTTTGTCTTTGGTTTAGTGTAAAATTTCAACATAGGCGTTCTAGTTATAAGGAGCTCCAGTATATATGTGATGGGGATAGCAATGGAATTCTGTACTTTGCTGGGACTTCATACGGGGAACACCCATGGGTTAACCCTGTACTGTCTAAGGTGAAATTCTCAATCCTCTTTCTTTATTCATTCATAATCCACTTACTGTTCCTTACCCCCCTTTAACTACATGCTTCAGAGAATTGCTATTACAGCTAGTAGCCCCACTTCAAGATACACTGATCCCAAGGCTTTGGTATCAAGAACTTACCAGGTATGATGAATCGAAACCTTCAAAGTTCTCTAAAATATATCTAAAGCATTATTAGCTGAACTAAGTGACAATCAAATGATATGCCCCATTTCAGGGAACATGTTTTGCTGGGCCTCGTATGGAAGGCGGACGTATCTGTGCATGGTGGATGATTGACGTTGGCCAAGATCATCAGGTATGTGCTCTGTACTCCCTGCTACCTTCTTACACTAATGAAACTTTAATTTGGTTAAATTAAGTTGTCGATGACCATAAATGATGTTAGCATCATACGCATCCAACCTTCAAGTGTCTTCGGAAGAAAATATGGTCTATGACTTCAGTAGCAAAGAAGTTTCAGGTGCAATTGAGTTGTCATGTCTGTTGGTCTCTTCCAGTCATAGCATGTTTGAGTATAATTTCGTTCTGTCCTAAGCAGTATTAAAAATTTCAGTTTAAGTGTTACTTTCAGTGAAATCTGATGCCAGTCTTCTTATGAGCAAATGTGATTAATGCAGCTTATTTGCAACTACTACACATTGAGACAGGATGGCTCCAGGGCCTACATAAGATGTTGGAAATTTCAGGTAAAGAAGATATTACGTTAATTGTTTCTTAGATATTTGTGCTGGAATTAGTGAATTCTAACAATGGAAGCAAACTCTAATGTAACTCTCCCCAACTTCCAGGGTTCTGTAGATGGGAGATCTTGGATAGATTTGAGAGTACACGAGAATGACCAAACAATGTGCAAGCCAGGTCAGTTTGCATCATGGCCTGTAACTGGAACAAATGCTCTGCTTCCATTTAGATTCTTCAGGGTTCTACTCACTGGTCCAACAACAGATTCTTCTAACCCCTGGAACTTCTGCATTTGCTTCCTGGAGCTGTATGGTTACTATCGCTGAATAGGATTGTGTACATCTGGCTTGTTCCAGTATTATTTCCTTAAAGTTGATTTTGTTTAACCTCTATGTACAGTTTCACCAATAAACTCATGAAGTTGAGGACAGAATTTGCCTTATCCAATTCATGCCGCTTAGATGAATAACTTGATTGCTCTATAGTCTCGGTCTCACCCTTCAAAGAAGAGAAGCTAGAGACCCTGAATTATTTAGTATAACTTATCTAGATCAAGAATACACGTGTTGGTCACTGTCCACAGAAGCATAACTCCCATACCTTCTATGCATAAGGCAAATGCATCTACAAACTGAATACAGAAACACCAATGAAGTAACCTAGGATCATACCAGTCTGAGGTGCAGTTCTGTTTGTGTGGGTTTAAGACTACTATGGTTATCATTGTTAAATTTACCAATGTCAAATGATTATAAAAGGCTGTTGAGCGCAGAGGAATATGGATTCCTAACAACCTATAGCGTGGGAGGTTTACTTGCATTTCCACACAAACACGAAACAACAATACAGGTATAAAATTCAGAAAAACCAAACTATTAGTTCTAGGATCATAAGTGCATGCTTATCATGTTCCCACAAAGTACACGTGCATCATGAATAAAACGCTAGTAGAAACAAGATCATTTTGGCATTTCAATACATGCATACAATAAACAGAGCAGTCCCTTGTATCCAGGCCAAATAACTTCACGTCCATCTAATTTCTTTTTCCTCAACATAACAAAAGAGTAGAACCTTTTACATCAAATATGAGGACTACAAGCTTGGTTACTAAACTCAAGGCCTCTCAGGTGGCCTACAATGATGAATGCTGCTCCTGACATAAGATACTAGAAACCATTTGACAAGACAAAGTTACCTACGAACAGATGGCACACCACCTCTACCGGCTGTTGTGCCCCGGCCAGCAGCTTGTGCCTGTAAAACAAAAAAATTGAATTTAAAAATTAGGAACTGATGCTCACAAACAAGTTAAGCACATGAATAAATAAATAAATAAATAAGCAAACAAAAGCACCATTCTTTGGGTTCCATCTTAATTACAGGATATGTGTACTTACTTTGGCTCGCATTGCAACAGCTCTACCTCTGCCAACTCCTAAAGAAGAGCTCTTCCCCTTCAAGAAGTTACAAAAGGAAGTCAGAAATTTGCTAACAAGTGCATAATCTACGAAACTGATAACTTGCAAAAAGATGCATACCTTGATTTTAGCATCCAGACGCTTAAACATAGGAGCATTCTTCAACATGTCAGGTATGACCATAAACCTGTCAAAATAATTCAATCTGTCAACATACGAACAAAGAATGTCTGATCTGAACCACACCCTGCTACCAGCAAATAAGTACCACCTATCAACCCCATTAAAAATGAGGCAACAGGATGTCGAGAGAGACGCAATACCTGACTTTACTGCCTCGAATGAAAACATGCTCAAGCAGTGATACCTTTCCATCCTGAAGCCAAGCCAAACCAATCATCTTAAAATCAGTTACAACAGCAAGAAAATGAGAGGAAAGACAGAGAAGCTAGAGCCAAAAGGGAACTCAGCATGCTTTTCAAAAACATATCTACTTCTGAAAACGGGGATGAGAGGAATATTCACTTAATATCAGAATGAATTTTCTCAGAAAGAAAATCCGAAAATACAAAACTCAGTGGCATTCTGATTTCTCAACTTTTGATTGCAAGGAAATTAGATATATTAAATAAAGAATCATGATGCAATGTCTGGAACTGAGATACTTCAACAAATCCGGTCCGTTCCTGACATTTGTAGTAAATTGTGGTTTCAGGCCTAAATTTGATTGGAATAGACACAAAAATACATATATCCTAACTAGGACGACACAACAATGAATAAAACATCCAAACCAAGGACAAATTCAGATATAGCAGTGAGTGATTGCTGTGTCATATCCTGAAATTCAAACACTAAACCCCATCCATCTCTTCCTTTCTCTCCTATTAGCCCGTTTATAGACTTAAGTCCAAAGTTCCGGCATCCAATGCCTAAACTATAACATCAAATATTGACGCATTTTAGGGTTTACCGCTAACTGCGCATGAACCATAAACCCTAAATTCCTCGGATCCAAAAAGAATTGAACAAATCGAACTCATTACTCAGCAGTTAAAGATACAACAAAGAGAGGAAAGTGGGAAATAGAGAGGTACTTTAGCAGTGTAGGTGATGTTCTCCAGCTGGCAATTCCAGTTATCTTCGCATTCGACCATGCTTCCTCTGTAAAGCTCTCCGCTCTTAAGCTCCACCGTTACCACGTGACCCGACGCCTCGTGTAGCAGCTTCACCGGTATCCCCAAGCTCCGGCTCATTGTTTCCCTCCCTTCTTTCCTTTTCGTTCTTGTTTTTCCTCCTTTCTTGCCCGCTCGCCCGCTCGCCCGCTATGCTTCTCGTACAAATCCTAAAACCCTAGCGCTCTACCAAATTCATTTTGTCCGCCGAGTTACATATAAAATTTCGCAATCAAATCATCAGGGTATATTTGTAATTCTCTAGATATAGTAAGGACAACTTCGGAGAATTCCATCGCTAGTTATGAATAAATCAGCGGCCTTCCTTCTTTTATGATCAATCCTATGCCGTTGGATTATTTGACTTCTATCGTTTGGTTGAATCCTCGACACTTTGAATTTGCGGACCGTGCCCGGGGGAGAATTGGTTTTTTTCTCCCCTCTAAATTACAAAAATTTCTACGAGTACCTTTTTATGGTAAAGGCAAGGTATAATTATCATTCGGTAAGCTAAGAGACGTACACATTAAATAGTTGATGTTCCCAAACTTTCAAATGATGCAGAGTATTAATTTTGCTAATCAAATCCAAAGATATGAGTAAGAGATTATTTAATTATAATAATCTACATCTCGAGATAAAAATATAATTACGATTTAATAAAAATGTGTCACAATTATATATCAACTTAGTTTGGTTTTTCATCATATTCACTTATTTTATTAGTTCTATAGATAGAGAATGATTATTAAATATGATTGGTTTATGAAATTTATAAATAGTAATACTAATACAAAGAGATAATATGATAATTTCAACTTTAAATGTAATGTGTATTTTTTTATATTAATATGAAAATTTTAGTTAATGAGGTTTTGTCTTAGTAACAAAGAGATTCTGAAACTTTGAAATTTTAGGTAAATTGAATTTAGTTTAATTTCATGTTTGATTTTTTTAATTATGTGCTAATTTGTTGATTGGTTAATTTGTTTATTCAATGTACATATGAGATGATATGTGGTTATCATATATATTTATATTGGTAATTTCCTTAAAAAATATATATGAGATTTGTAAATTTATTTTATTAATTAATTATATCTTTTTAGTGTTTCATATTTCACTTCAACCACCACCAAAATCTTGTGCTCATTCATTGACGTACTAAAAGAAATCATTTATTTTTACTTGTCTCAATTTGCAAGGTCGGAATTTAGAATGTATAATTAAACAAAACATATCAATTAAATAAAGTAGTAATTATTAGTGATATCAAACGTTTTAAGTTTATTTCCGATAAGAAGCAAACATTAATCTTATCATATGAAAAGACCAAAACTTACTATTTAACAAACTTATCCTTTCTTCTCTTTCAGAAGACAAATAAAAGTTTTCCTCTATAAGACTTTATAAATGTATAATTAGCCGATAAGAGATATTAGCCGTCTAGACGTACAATTTTTTTTTTAATAAAGCAAAACTGACGTGTGGATGAGGTTAAGTAGGGATCAAGCGGTTGAGTTGTCACGGGGAACATATGTTTGATTGATTCCGAGATATTTGTAGCATCGATTGACAACCGTCTGATCATCTTTGCTGTTGGCTTCAGTAGAAAAGCAGAATAATCTGATTTGTCTTTTTCCTTTTTTTACGAATTATTAGTCCCCGAATTTCGACGGCAAGTGGGTCGTAACGTGGAGCATCTGCTTTGTTTCTTTCCAAAGGCAATCAAAGATCACAGCGAAAAATAAAATGAGAGAACATAATTTTGAAGTGAAAGTGGGCCCAGCATCCAACGGTCTAGATTTTCTTATGGATGGCGCTAATCCTTTTGTAACGACAATTGGTAGCACACTCGCTCCGTGTTTAAACTTTCTTGCTTGCTCGAAGAGGAAAATGGAGCTGAGAAGCTGAATCCGGGAAAGGAAGATGCTGGGTTCGTTGGGTCTCCTCGCCACGCCTTTTGCTTTCGGGTCTTTCTCTCCTTCATCGAGCAAGACCCGCACTTTGGTAATATGAACTTCTAATCAAATTTCTTGACGATGAATCTGCATGCATTCTGTTTCCACTTGTTGGGTTTGTCGTTTAACTTCGAACGAAAGATCCTGATGAATTTCTTAATCATCAGAGTTCCAAAAGTAATCATCAACTTGCCAAACAACTAGCAGTTGAATCTAGACGTGGATCCCGTAAGTTGCTCGGGCGACCTGTATTTTTGTTCAACTCAGTGTATGGAAAGGTATGAGCTTTTTGAATTTTTCTTTTGAAGATATTTCTTACACGATGAAATATAATATTCGTTGAAATCTTCGTTATGTTTGGTGTTAAATATGAATTTGCAAGTATTTTTGGTATTGAATGAGTCATCATCTCTGCTTCATTTTTCCCCTCCAGGTCAGTCATGGTTCCCCAATCTTAGCTGTTATGGTTGATGATAGTTCAACAATGACATCGTCTGAGGAAGACGCCGAACACATCGGCATCTTGGACGTTGATTCTGCCCTCGAACCTTTTAAGGATCACTTCCAATATAGAGTTAAGAAATACTTGGATCAGAAAAATCTCTTTGAAAAGCATGAGGGAGGCCTAGAGGAATTTGCTAAAGGTGACTTTCATTTCTCATTATCATCAATGCTACCCGCTCCTGAATTTGCTTGTATGTTCTGACATCAAACGCTGCTTCAATAACGAAATTGCTTGCTCCTCAGGAGCTAAATAGTATAATCGATATTTATATGATAATGCTCGAAGGAGATAAGTTTTTTTTCTTTTTCCAACCCTTTTTTAACAATCTGGCTTTTACCCTTTTTTATAGGTTATTTGAAATTTGGATTCAACAGAGAAGAAGGTGGAATTGTCTACCGTGAGTGGGCTCCTGCTGCTCAGTAAGTTTGGGTTTCTGAAATACAAGTTCACTAACTTTGTTATCCTATAATTGCTTAGACAGAGTCTTTTGAATCATGTAGGGAAGCTCAAGTTATTGGAGACTTTAACGGATGGGATGGCTCCAACCACAGGATGGAAATGAATCAATTTGGCGTTTGGAGTATTAAAATTCCTGATTCTGGGGGAAATCCAGCTATTCCTCATAATTCAAGAGTCAAGTTCAGATTCAAGCATGGTGATGGAGTTTGGGTAGATAGGATTCCTGCTTGGATTAAGTATGCCACTGTAGACACTACCAGATTTGGTGCACCATATGATGGTGTGCATTGGGACCCTCCACCTTCAGAAAGGTGCAATTTGTTCATATTTTACTTGATTTATTTTTATGGTGATGATATTTCCATAAACAACTGTGCGATGCAGGGTTTCGGGTATCTTAATCTTTATGCATTTTTTTATCCAGAATTAAAATTTGTCTCATCATTTTGGAACATGTGAATTAAAAAATTAGTTTGATATTGCTTGAGATGGGAACTAGTTGCCACTATCCACTGCTGTTTCATCAAAATTAAAGCAATGGTAATTTTCTGCTTTTAGTATATATGATTGAGAAATTGTGCCTTTTAATGTATTCTTTCATTGATAATGCAGGTATGAATTTAAGTACCCTCATCCCCCAAAACCCAAAGGCCCAAGAATATATGAAGCTCATGTTGGAATGAGCAGCTCAGAACCGCGTATTAATTCATACAGAGAATTTGCTGATGATGTTTTACCTCGCATTCGGGCAAATAACTATAATACTGTTCAATTGATGGCTGTAATGGAGCATTCTTATTATGCATCATTTGGATATCATGTTACAAACTTTTTTGCTGTAAGCAGTAGATCTGGAACTCCTGAGGACCTCAAATATTTAATTGATAAAGCCCACAGCTTAGGTCTACAGATCTTGATGGATGTTGTTCACAGCCATGCAAGTAACAATGTCACTGATGGACTCAATGGCTTTGATGTTGGCCAAAGTTCACAAGACTCATATTTTCACTCTGGAGAAAGCGGTTACCACAAGTTATGGGATAGCCGACTGTTTAATTATGGTAATTGGGAAGTCCTTCGCTTCCTTCTTTCAAACTTGAGGTGGTGGCTTGAGGAGTTCAAATTTGATGGCTTTAGGTTTGATGGAGTGACATCAATGTTATATCATCACCATGGTATCAACGTGGGTTTCACAGGGGATTATAATGAGTATTTCAGTGAAGCAACTGATGTTGATGCTGTTGTTTATTTAATGCTGGCCAATTCTCTGATACACAGCATCTTGCCAGATGCAACTGTAATTGCTGAAGATGTTTCCGGTATGCCTGGACTTGGTAGGCCTGTCTCTGAAGGGGGAACTGGTTTTGACTACCGCCTGGCAATGGCTATCCCTGACAAGTGGATTGATTACTTGAAAAATAAGAATGATGAAGAGTGGTCAATGAAGGATTTATCCTGGAGCTTGACAAATAGGAGACAAACTGAGAAGTGTATATCCTATGCTGAGAGTCATGATCAGGTATAAACTATGAAAAGTTATTTTTCTCACCAATTTATTTCTTAATTTAGTTAAATTATTTCTTTCTGGCACTGAGAAATTGTTCTGCTTGGAAATGTCTCAATCTTGGCTTTGTAACTCACTTTCAGTGACAGAAAGAGATATAGCATAAAGAAAGCTCGATTAATAAAATGCCTACTATCCTCTTCCTGTCTCCCCCATCCCTTCACAAAGAATAAGAGGACATACTTGTTAAATGGTTAATATCATGGCAGATCTGCTTTCCCGAATCCAATATCATATTAATACTTGTTAATCTTGCCTTTTCCTTTTTACCTTTGTATATTTCTATTTGTCATGCTTCATGGATTTTACTGTTTTTTTGTGCAGGCTATTGTAGGTGATAAAACAATTTCATTCTTCCTAATGGATAAAGAAATGTACTCTGGCATGTCATGTTTAGCAGATGCTTCTCCTACCGTTGAGCGAGGGATTGCACTTCACAAGGTTGGTGCTAACTCAAATCTTAGGGGCTCCTCTCTTTGTGGTTTCCTTAATTTCTTACCTTGTTGATGGCATAACAGCAACCATGAATCTCTCTCTCTCTCTGTAAGCTTAGAAACTGTTTTTGCTTTAAAATAACAGCAAATATGGAACTTTGATTATTTTATTTAGCCTTCTTGTTTGGCCTCTGCATAGATCATCTTTATTTATCTAGTCATTATTCTCATTGTTTCTCTCTACTCTCTCTCACATTCTTTTATGTTTTTTTGTATTTTAAATTACTTTTGCAGATGATACATTTTATTACTATGGCATTAGGAGGAGAGGGCTACCTTAATTTTATGGGAAATGAGGTAAGCAATCTGTGCTGACTGATCGTACTGCATAGTGCATTAAGATTTTGTTTGGGTGGATATTAGAGAAAATTTGAAGTCTAGAAAGCAAGGAGATTTTGACTGTTAGAATATTCGTATGGATGAAGATCAGCAAAGGCACTTTAAGTCACAAATACATGAATATGTTCAATAAGTAGGTAGAAGGCATTAAAAAGTAAAGAGGCGATTGGCTATATCTGCCCGGAGGCAATTTTCTAAATAAGGGTTTGTTCTCTCTTTTAACAAATAAGGTTACAAGAGAGCCATCTCTGGAAGGGCGAGACTGTCTCCTGTATCTTTTGATATTTCTTCTGCATGTTTGTACAGTTTGGACATCCTGAATGGATTGACTTCCCGAGAGAAGGCAACGGGTGGAGTTATGAAAAATGCAGAAGACAGTGGAGTCTGGTGGATACTGAACACTTGAGATACAAGGTCTGAGGTCTTTTTTATTTTTAAGAATTTGTTAAAGTTGCTTTGCTTTATTCTATCCCTGATCCATCTCCATATTAATCCTGTGGGCAACTGAAGTATTTGCTGTTGTTTGAACTTTTAACGCTATGACATAAGTCTGTGAATATGGGCCAAGCGACCGTTTAATCCCTCACAACCTTTTCATTTCAATACCATAATGCTTTTGATCAGAACCAGATCAGAGTCAAGTTGAAAGCTCAAGAATCTAGCTGAACATGGACCATGGTTGGTGATTATTGTGCAAACACTGATAATGCTCACCTGCGTTTTTAACTTTGAAGGCACCTGTATGATATATTTTACAAAAACTGGATCTAATTTTTCTCTCTATTTTTGCATCCTAATCTTTGTTTTATTTTATTTTCATCTTTCTGTACTGAGGAGGGTTTGCTCCTGATATGCAATTCCTTACATAATTTTTTCTCTTTGTGTTTGAGTTTTACAGTTCATGAATGCATTTGACAGAGCTATGAATGCACTTGATGATAAATTTTCATTCCTTTCATCAACAAAACAGATAGTGAGCAGCAGTAGCGAAGAAGACAAGGTAAATCTACAATGGCAGTTGGCTGTTAGAGTTAGACCATTGCACCTGTCCCTCTAATTCATGATGCAACATGCATGCATATTGCCAATAATGAAAGTTATTTGACATTGTTATAGTTGAAACTTTTATCATTAGAAATAATAAATTGTTCATCCATCACTCTTTGTATGGTTATCCAAAAACCGAAAGACCACAGTGGCTAGCAAACAACATATACGTGTTTCCTTTGAATTTCAAACATGTATGGTAAATTGTTTTGAAGGTTCTTTGTACTTTTCATCATGCTAGTGTACTTTTCTTTCTTCTCTTTACCCCCAAACTGATAGAGATAATGAACCCCACCCTTGTTTTGTTCTTCTCTGCCTTATAACCTTCCCTTGTGGTGGCTTTAACCACTTTGGTTTTGGTGGATGTAGTTTTGACAGTTTCTTTTAAGAACAATTACCAAGGCTCTGATTAATGGTTTTTCGATTTAGGTTATTGTCTTTGAGCGGGGAGATCTGGTTTTTGTGTTCAACTTTCATCCCAAGAATACATATGATGGGTATGTATGCTGTAAATTGTGAAAAAGTCTACATATGCTAGAAAGTTTAAATGAAATCAGCTAAGGCCTATGTGACATTGTAATTAATTACCTGCGCTTTCAAACTTTTTGAGTGACTATTGTGTAAAACATACAGGTACAAAGTGGGGTGTGACTTGCCAGGGAAGTATAGAGTTGCTCTGGATAGTGATGCTTGGGAATTTGGTGGGCTTGGAAGAGTAAGGAACTCCTGCTATTGTTGTTATGCTTGCCTTTTGCTATTGATGAAAGAATGATGTTGTTTTCTGGCTAGATTTCTTACAATATAATTGGGGTTTTACAGCTACTTTTTATAAGTTTTCTCGGGACTTAATGAGAAAACAAATAGCTGATTGTTTCCTCAGGTCTCGGAATGGCCTCTGGTCCTCTAAGTTGGTAACTTCAATATATTTACCTGATACTGGGAACTAGTGAAGTCCATTGCATCTAAAAGGCTGTCTTCCTCTTCTATGAATTGTTTTACTCTCCTGGTAACGCTATAATTAATTCTTCTGGCAGGTGGGTCACGATGTGGATCATTTCACATCTCCCGAAGGAAAACCAGGTGTGCCTGAAACTAATTTCAACAATCGTCCTAATTCTTTCAAAGTACTCTCGCCAGCTCGCACGTGTGTGGTATGACATCTCTTCCTGGTCTTTCTGATGACGTAATTTCCCTAGTGCAACTTATATGGTACTTTTTGTCACTCTTTCTTTATAGGCATGGAAATGTACCCAAGTTCCTACTTACCACTGCTTGACATTGATGATTGTGATTTGGTATTTTTTTCCTTCTATTTTTGAGCCCTCAGGCTTATGGCTTTTGGAACTTTGGGTGGCATCACAAATCTCTGCCTGTTTCTATGGTCCTTGAACCCTTCTTCGAAGTTAAAACATGGATTTACAGATTTCTTACAAACTTTTCCCAGGTTTATCATAGAGTGGAAGAAACTCCAGGAGACATTAATGACAGCAACTTAACCGGTGTCAATGAGACATTACAAGTAGATGCTGTAAAGGAGGAGAATATTGCAGAATCAGCTTCAGTGGTAGATATCATGGAGACCAAATCTCTGCCTGTATCTATAGAAAGTCCAGGAGTGGAAGAAAGTCCAGGAGAAACTAACGACTACAATTTGGCCGGTGTTGATGAGAGGTTGCCAATAGAAGGAGCAAAGCAGGAAAATATTGAAGAACCAGAAAGTCCAGGAGAAACTAACGACTACAATTTGGCCGGTGTTGATGAGAGGTTGCCAATAGAAGGAGCAAAGCAGGAAAATATCGAAGAACCAGCTTCTGTGGTAGACAGAAGTTTTGCTGCCAACCTAGACCCTCCTGAAGCGGAAGAGAGGGAAGATGGAATATTGGACGACTAAGCTTTTCAGCTCCAGTGCAAATCAAAGAGAGTATAAGCCTATTCGTGTTACCTTGTTTTGTGAATAATAGTAGTGTGAGGAGTAACCAGGGAATTTTGTTTTTGTTTGTAGATTTTAGGCAGAGAATAATAGTCTGCTTAGGTGCCAGTCATCACTGTAGGAAGACCGAAGTCTACTGATCGTAGGCAATAAGATCTATAGAGTTGTGAAGATCAAGTCCACAGTGGGTGCATCTTGCATCTGAGCATTCGACTTATTGGTATACACGATCTCTATGTTTTAATCCCCTTCCCCCAAAACAACATCCACTAAAGGTGCTATTCGTTTTTCCTATGGCGGCAGTTGCCGTGGTTAAATAGTTTATCAAGAAAATTTCTATCATGTAGCATCATCTCATCAGATCTTAATGAACACAACCCTATCAATCTAGGGGTTCTACCCACCAATAGCCCACTCCCATTTCCATCTCTTTCCTCTTCTATCTTTAGCCCACCCCCTTTTCTGTCTCTTCTCTCTTCTTAGCGCCAAACGGTGTCCTTGGAGCGTTGTGCCCTCATTTATTCTCCTTTTCTTTTGTGCCTTCTTTCACCATAATTTGTGATACCGGGGTTTTGGGAACCTTTAACCCTAAAACCTGAATTTTGAGAACCTTAAAATGAGTCAAAACCCTCAATTGATCGAAACCCTAAACTAGCTAAACCCTTAAAACCGATTAAAACTTTGAATCAATTGAAGCCTTGAAACTTTTTTTAAAAATAAACAAAAAACCAACTCGAGGTTAGACTTGATAATTTGTATATTTGTATTTTAATCGTGTCATGTAAATATAGAGTATTAACAGTTGTATGAGTAAACATGAATATGACACAATTAATTAATTATGTAAGAATTTTAAACACGTACAACGGTATAACTAACACATTTATTAAACGTGTTGGAATATATTTTATATGACACAATACGATTAAAATTTATATACTGTATAACTTGTTTTCACACTTGATATAATTAATATGATTAGAACGATTAAATTGAAATGTATACAAGTAAATAAAATTATATTATTCAAATTTATAATAAAAATTATAAATATAATAATTTATACTAAATAATAAAATTCAATATCAATAAATCTTAATCATTATGAAAATATTAATAGTTATATAGATTAATAAATGAGATTTAACCGGTATACTAAAAATGTTTACACCATACGTGAACATTATTAAATAAATGAATAATAAATGGTTATAAATTATATAAATATATGATAACATGATTAACTAATTACATCTTAGATGGGTTACGTGAGTTTAGCACGCTTAATATTTAAAGACACGATTTATTCATGTCTTAATCTTATCGACATGATTAATATACAAAACATAATTAACTTAAATCCAAACCTACTTAAACTTATGTTGTATTGTTGTCGTATTACCATGTCGTGTACAAAGTTATCAAATCTACCTGAGCTAGACTAATCTTGCATAATTAAATTATCCCTAACTCGGTCCCAAACGTGGATGTCTTGTCTTAGATTAGTCCAAATGTTTCTATCCTGCTTGACGAGGCCTGCTATGACTTTAGCCCAATTGAGTTTACAGAGCGAGCTCGATCAAAGCGGCCTGCTGTGCTCTTGGCCCAATATTAAGGAAGCAATCGTTGAAAAATCAAAAATGAAAAATTAAGAAGGAAGGCGAGGGGAAAGCGAATCAGCTTGGTCTCTTGCGTCGAAAGACACTTGCTATTCCCATAGAAGGAGAAAAGGGGGAGGCAGAAAGAGAAAAATGGAGCAGAAGAAGGAGAAGAATAAGTACAGCGTGATAGTACCAACTTATAATGAACGCCTCAACATTGCTCTCATCGTCTATCTCATCTTCAAGCATCTTCGGTATTTCCAACTCCAAATCTCTCTATTTCTTATTTCTTTGTTTTTTTTACATGATTTTTATGTTTTTCTTTGATCGCTAAACTCGTAATTTTAGTATTTCGACGTGCTCCGTCGAGATCTGATTGCTTTTCTTGAATTCGCGCTCTTTTCTTTGTGCCCCCTTTGTCCTGATCGAATTTATGATGTGCGTCTGATACGGTATTAGAATTGTCTGTTTTTATTTATCGTCTTGTTTTCTTATTATGAAAATGTTGTGATTTGGATGAATTTAGATAAAGGTTGTAAATCTGTATTAGAAAGTAGACCTCCGTTATTCTGGAATAATTATCGAGAAATAAATTGAAGCATCTGTTGTTTTTGAAAAAACTCTTGTTCTTTACATTCTTAATCCAACTGTGTGAAATTGAACCTCAGAGTTTAGTCTATGATTCTGTTTTTGTCCGTTTAGCAGTTTTCTTAAGACTTTGTAAGTTCAAATACCTGTATGTTAAAATTCCACATATATGGTGTTGTTGGAAGCAAAATTCTAACTATTAATGAGTTGGTATCATGGAAGGAAAAATATATGATTCATTCCACGTCTCCTGCAATGTGACTTTGCTTCTTGGCGATCATGATGCTTAGTGTAGTTCTTTTCATCAAAATGTAACTGCCTTACACTCAACAAATTCTGAGTTAATAGGGAACATGATAAGTTTAACATAGATAAGTTTCAAGTTACCTCTCTTGAAAACCAATTCCTTTGATATTGTGATATCTCCCAATATGTGGCTTGCATAAGCTGTTGTAATTTTTTTTGCTTGGAGTAGGGATGTAGATTTTGAAATAATTGTGGTGGATGATGGGAGCCCTGATGGTACTCAAGAAGTTGTGAAACAACTGCAGAAACTGTATGGTGAAGATCGTATCGTAAGTTCCATTCTTATATACCTACAAAATTGGATCTATATGTAATCTGTTTTGCTGATCAATGTCTATGCTTACCTATACTTCTGGCTCTTTGATGATGCAGCTATTAAGACCTAGACCTAAGAAGCTTGGATTGGGTAAGTTTAAATTATTACCTGTCAGGAATAATAGATGTTGCTGGCCTTTGAACTGTTTTTGGTTTCAGGAACTGCTTACATACATGGTTTGAAGCATGCTTCTGGAAATTTTGTTGTAATCATGGATGCTGATCTATCACATCATGTAAGTGTGATGGTGTTTTTGTAGCCTCTTTCTACCAGTTAAGTCACAACACTTCACTTCCTGTTTTCTCTCACTTATATGATCTCTTCATCTTGTTTTTCAGCCAAAATATTTGCCAAGCTTCATCAAGTAAGAAATCTTCTGGTTGATTCTTTAGGGTTTACAATTATGCCTGATTTACTTAAATCCTTATAATGTTTTGATCATTGACATCTTTATTAGGAAACAGCTGGAAACTGGTGCCAGCATAGTTACTGGAACACGGTACGTTAAAGGTGGTGGTGTGCATGGATGGAATCTGATGCGCAAGCTAACAAGTAGGGGAGCCAATGTGCTTGCACAGACCCTTTTGTGGCCTGGTGTGTCAGACTTAACGGGATCTTTCAGGTATAATAACTAATTAATAGAAGTGGGCTATTTCAGACTGTCATAGCTTTAGGGCTAACGTTTCCTTTTCCTTCTCTTGTAAAGGCTTTATAGGAAATCAGTGCTTGAAGATGTCATTAGCTCCTGTGTTAGCAAGGGATATGTCTTTCAAATGGAGATGATTGTTAGGGCTTCAAGAAAAGGCTACCACATTGAAGAGGTATAATTCATTTCTATAGTTGCATATGAATAAACTGATAGATATTTTAACCCTAAGTCAACTGTTGTTATCTCTGGCTTGTTTGTGCTAGGTTGAGTACTTGGTAAATGACATGTAAGGGTCAAAGTTCTTCTAATCTCTTTAAATACCAATAAATTTCATTTTAAAAACCCAAGACAACAAATTGGATTTCAGTGCTACTGCCTTTGCAACCTCCACACCTAACTTGAATGCTGAGTTTGTTGTACCCAAATTATTCTTTCAACTTAAGTTTCTGTGAAGATAGTTTTCCTATTTTGCTTTGTGAATGGGATTTTGTGGTGGAGAATACGTTGAACCCTTACAGTTGAATGTTGTATCCTGCATTTATTGTGCAGAAATTATATAGATCTGTGTTTTGATCATATGGTTTCTTCTCATCCCTTACTTCTTCTTTAAGCTGTGTGCTGTTCAAACATCAATTTTTCATATAGCTAAACAATTTATATCCTTCACATTTATGTTGATTCGGTTTTTTCTATTGTCTACAGGTTCCAATAACTTTTGTTGATAGAGTATTTGGAAGTTCAAAGCTTGGAGGATCCGAAATTGTAGAGTATTTAAAAGGCCTTGCATATCTTTTGGTCACAACATGACACCTTCCTATAAATATAGCCAACATGATAACAAGAAGTGACTGCTTGAGATTTGCAGTGGTGAATCTGCACGGCAAACAATTTTTATAGCTTGCTCTTAGAAGTTACCTTATGTAACCTGACTTTCGATGGCAAATTTGGTTTAAGGGCTCAAAAAGTATTTTACTTGGGGAATGTTTTTCGCTGGAAACGAAGAGGCAAAAGCTTATTTGCCAACTGTCTTTTTCTTCTGTAAATTTGCCAGTTGTCATTTTTGGTTAGTTTAGCCAGTTTACTAAACCAAAAGACAGTAACTTGTACTTACTTTGGTCTTTTCAAGTGAAGAAGAAGAAGAAGTAGACAGGAGACTGAATATTCAGATGAAAAATGAAGTAGGAAACTTCATTCATTCAGCAAATTCATTTTGCTTTCTATACTTGAACAAAGAAAATGTAAAAGCTGAATACGAGAATACTTGGACCATTCTCATGTTAATATCTATATATTGAGACAGGACAATGTATACCGTGCAGCATCAAACGTCTGGTAGAGGAATCAGAATGAAACATAATGATAAAACATGCATTAAAAATGAAACAGAGTCCCAATTTTCCTAAATTAAAAAGAAAAATCCAAGAAATAAAACTTGCATAGAAAACCCAATTTCCGGTTCTCAGGTCCTCTTAACTCTTCTAGTCCCAGTTTTCCTTTCACTGCCAATCACAGACGACTTGTCACTGTTGACAGCGAGAGGAGGTTTCTTGTTCTCTTTACTCATACTTCTGAGCAGGTACCTAGGAGTCCGAGTCTCGTTCATCTCCGCGGAATAAGCAGCAGACACTGACTTCCTCAAGCTCTCGAGCTTCTTCGAGTCTCTTCTCTTTGAAGATTCAATTGTAACTCCAAGATGGCGCCCAGCCTTTGAGTCATCGCCAGTTTCGCCTCCTTTCTTTCTCTTAAGTCTCTCGTTTCTCCTGGCTGCGTACTCATCGTAAAACCGGCCCCTCTCAAACAGAGGAGTGGAGTTGGCGCTGAGACTAGTTTCACCAAAACCAGCCTTTTCGGGTTCCCCATTTCCGAGTTCATCTCTGACCATCTTCGCCAGAGCCCGTAACTCGCAAGAAATAGAGCGATACTCTGGTCGAATCTCAGATTCTTCGACGGCCCAAGTACGGATAGGCTTCTGGGATTTCGTCAAAGAACCTTTAAATAACAAACAAACATTTTATTCCCCCAAAAAAAGAATACAAACTGAAAAGGATTTATTTCACTGTTTACGATAAGAAACAAAAGTTCCTATGAATTTACAACCCGATATACCTGGTGGGGTTTGCAGCGAGGTTGAGTTTGGTCGAATGACTCGACGAGGTCGTAGGCGCATGGGCGATTTCGCAAGCGGAGGCTTACGATCAGATTTCATCTTAGACATGATATCTCAGTTTTTCTTCCTTTTTGTTCTTAAAGAGAACTGCGGAGGTTCAAAGATAGAGAGAAACAGAGTATTAGCGAAGATGTTGTTGAAAAAGATTAAGGGTAAAAATTGAGAGGCCAACCTACGTTTGAATTGTTGTGACTGTTTCTACTTCCATTTTTTTTTCTTTGCGTAGGTTTGGTTGCTTGGCTTTTTTTCAACTTTTTCAGAATGTCGTCTATTTTATTATGAGACAACGATGTAAGGTTTGAAACTTTGAATTTGCAGAGGAGAGAGGAGGGGAGCGTTTCCAACGGTCATATCTTAGATCCGACGGTCTACGATTAATTCAGATTTAAAGGGTCGGTTCGGTGTCATTGACATTACACCTTGTCCAGATTTTTAACTTAATTGAGGGATTACATTTACGGGTTTATGGTGTGTAGTTGTCAAAGCCGTCCATTGGCTTGGTTTTAAAATTTTAAAAATCGAATCAATTGAATTAATTGATCAACTTTTTATAAAAAAAATAATTAAATTAATTAAACTATAATCTAAAATCAAAAGAATTAAAATCCTTTTATAGTTGATATGTTTAATCGGTTTTATCATATAAAATACATAATATATCAAAAAATTAATTAAAATAATCAATAGAAATTAAAATCGAACAGACCCAACTAAATTAAATGAATTCAATTTATTTTGATCTATTTATTCGATTAAAAGTGATTAATGCGCATCTCCTTTTCCCTTTCCTAGTTAAATCTTTCCCCTTTTTTATGGTCAAAGTAAATCTTCTGCAGTCAACCTTTTTTTAAGTATTGGTACTAAACTTTTGCTTGTTATACAGAAAGGCCCATTCATTGAACCCAACTAGCCCACATCCAAAGTCCAACTAAACATAATGAATCCAAAGAAATAGGTAGCTAAGCCCAACTCATGACTCACCCAGTCCCAGGTTCCCCTCTCCCTTCTAAAGGCTAAAGCAGTATTGATTAAAAAAAAAAAAAACTAGCATTTACATATAGTAATGTGATAGTGCTAATTAATTATTCTCCTCTTTCGGTTTTAGATTATAGATAGTGAGAAAATATCAAAGGCTTGTACATTCTTTCTTTTAGATATAGAAAATGGAAGAGGACACAGGAATCCCATAGTGCAAGGTGTTTCCTATTTGAGTTGATGATGAGATGATGTGGTCTGTTTGGCTTTGTGCCATCTCCTTGCTTGCTATAGTTGTGACAAAGTTTATTTACAGGTGGAGGAACCCTGAATGTAAACGCATTCTTCCGCCAGGTTCGATGGGACTCCCACTTCTAGGGGAGACCTTTAGTTTTCTTGCCCCAGCCAAGTCCATATGGAGACATCCATCCTTTTGTTAAGGAAAGAATGAAAAGGTAAGGATATACGACCAATACCATCATCCAGAACATGCTGAAAGAGAAGCATAAAAGAAAAGATTAAGGCCTTGATCTTTTCAAAGGGTTGTGTTATAGGTATCGTCCGTTGTTCAAAACAAGTTTAGAGGTCGACAGATTGTGATAACGTCGGACCCTGATTTCATTTATTTCTTGTTGAAACAAGATGGAAAACTTGTTGAGCTGTGGTACCTCCGTACCTGGATTCCTTCGCCGAGCAGTTTCGCAAGGAGACAACAGCAGCAAAAGGCTACGGCCCACGTGCACAAGTATCTTAGGCACGTAATCCTTAATTAGTTTAAATTAAAGATAAAAAACCAGCACCAAAGAGGAAGTCCAGATAAATGAGAACAACCGCTCAGCACTCGATCCTAAATCATAGAAACAACAAAAGAATTTTCTCCTACAGTTGATTGACTTTGACTTGCGTGACGTTTCTATTCTGATATTCTGCTGCTGATCTTTAATTAAAGAATAATGGAAGCTATGTAACAGCAATAGCATTTGGAGGAGGCAATAGGAAATGTGCAGGAGCGGACTTCAGCAAGGTCATGATGGCTATATTTTTACATGTCTTGGTCACCAAATATAGGTCCGTTCTTAAATGTTTGTCTCTCTTTCACTTTCACACACATAAAAGAGAAATTTAATTGTATATCAGCTTGAAACTGACAACAAAAGAATTGTAAAATTTTGGCTAGGTGGTCCAATATCAAGGGAGGAGATATGGTTCGTGCACCGGTTCTGGGATTTACCAATGATTTCTACATTAAAGTTTCAGAAAAACATGCATAACTTGGTTACACATTAGACGTCGAAGATTAAAGTGGACATCCCAGAGTTCACTGTCTTAAGTAAAACTGATATGCCTGCTATAAATATTAATTAGGAATTTGCGTTTTAAGTAACGCAGTCAAGTTGGTGATCATAGCAACTGTTGGGGTGTGACTTTCAACAGTTTTTCAGCTTGTAGAAATCATTTGATGCAAAATAAAATATATAAATATATTGATTAATTATAATGCATTTTTTCTGTCCTTGAATATATTTTGTACGGGTGCGCATGTAAGTATTAGAGCATTTCGTGGGGGGTTTAGCCTCGTTATCTTCTTTCCGCTGCTATTAACTCCTGACTGTACTATGCTGTAAATACTAGTTTTCTAAATGCTCACTTTCAATGATCAATATAAATACTTGAGCATTGAATATCTAATATATATACGTACGGTGACATAAAGTTATGTATAACACCAATAAGAGTGGCAAAGTATACTACTCCATATAGTGGTGTATACATAAAGAGAATGAAGGGTGATTCTTGGGCTCAAAAGCATACAGCATTGTTGTATTGCGTCCCTGTACCTTACATCAGTAATGCATAAGAGGAAATGAAGTTTATGTACAGAGAGAGATTTAAGGAAAATAACAAGTATTTAGTTGGCTCTAGAATTCCTGTGAATCTTCCAGACACCTTGCTCTATGATTATGAACTTAATTTTTGACAGAAGCCCCTTTGTTATGGCTTGTGACAGGACCATTTCTCTTAACATGATTCCCGTCCCGCAGATCTCAATATCTTCTTTTGGTACATATTCTCAATATGCTTATATATATGGGTTTCTTCTTTTCATTTTCATGGCATCTGGATTATTGAAAGTTTTGAATGAATCTGATTCATTGATGGAACAATGGTCCCAATAGTATGTGGTGGATTGGCTTGCATTTCTTTCAAGAACCTCCTCAGTCCTCATGGTTGAACAGCCTGTTTTGCTTGATGAAACAAAGTAGTTTTACTCTTTACATCTATATATTTTTTCATAGGTAAAGACAGAATGACATATAGTTAAAGATAGTGTAATTAAGATATCTCACAAGCAGCCTCAGCTGCAACCACAATGAAACAGAAACCAGGAGTTTCCTCCATCGAAACTAAACAGAAAGGTTTACGTAATGGATGGGATCTCGGATACATTCATTCGGCCACGTTTGGACCTTTCTTAAGTGTTAGTAGATTAAAGTTAGTACGTTGAACACAGGCCACTAGAAAGGCAAGGCCTTGGCCCTCTTTCGAGTGCAGAGAGTAAATTCTATCTTCTTGCCTGTTTGGGCCATTTAATCCGGGCTCATTCAAGCAGTCTCCTTGGGCTTGAGCTCCAGGCGTGAACCCCTTTGTTGAAAAAGTGATTGGTTTGACTCTCCCACTCACCCTGGAAACAAACCCAACAAAATTTCACGCCTTTTTATCTGTTTTTATTCGATGCTTTTTATATGTTGATATTTGATGCTTGGTCTAATTTTTTTAATTTAAAAATTATTATCAAATTTTTATAAAAAATTAATTTTTAAAATTAAATTAAAACTATTTTTATAAGTTATTTAGTAAAATATTTTATATAAATTTTAATTTTGATTAAAATTATCATAACATGTATCCTTATCATCTTCAGTCATTTAAAAAATTAAAATCAAATAAATTTATTTTAAATTTATATATGATTTCAAATGTTTAAAATAAAAAAAATTATAAAAAAATGAAACAGTTATCAAATTTGTGTAGTAGTAATAATATTAGATTTTTTTTGAAGAATTTTTTTTAAATAGTAAAAATAAAAAAATTTTAAATTTTATTATTATGTTGATGAGTTTTTTATTTTTTTTAGTAATTTTTATTAAAAAAAATAGAGAAGAGGAAGATCATGATTTTACATTGAAAAATGGTAATTTGTAGAGAAAGAGAGCAGTGAGGGAGATTGATTAAGAGAAATTGATTTTTTAAAAAAAAACTGATATATTTTTTAAAAAACTTTTCTTTATGCTTTTTTTAGAATTTTTTCAAAGTTTTATTTGATTTGATTTTAACTTTTAAGGATAAAGAAATGAAAAAGAATCAGACGAAAACAGGCATTTGAAGTAACCAGTTTTACACCCCACCAACCCCTTAAACGAAGAAAATTGAAGATAGGTTAGGTTTCACGTCAAAAAGAGTCTTTTTATGGAAAAACAAGATAAGGTTTTGAATATTATTAAAGCTTCTGACCTTGTACTTTTTGCAAGATTCTAAACTCAAATTTCAGCTGAGATGTGTATGACTGTACTTCAAAGTTCAGATTGAATTGAACGTAATTTCTGTTCTTGGGCATTGCTTCGCATTAGTAGCTGGCAAGCTGCTACAATTTCTTTGCTACACATGGGCACGTTGCATTGGCTTTAAAAGTGGTAAATTTGGCATCAATTCTCTTGGCAGTATAGCTGTCGGTTTCATGTCAGAATATTAAAAGGGAAAAGTTGGATGCCCACTCCTATCTTAAGCCTCAATCTAATCTTGTCATATTGCAATCCCTCATGACCACGGAGTCGTTGAAGATGGAGGGTATGATAAAGTGCTCTGCCAATTACGTCCCTTTGACTCCGATCAGCTTCTTGGAGCGCTCCGCGGTTGTCTACAGTAACAAACTCTCTGTTGTCCACGGTGATGTCAAGTACACCTGGAAACAGACACGCGAGAGGTGCGTTCGTCTCGCTTCTGCGCTTGCCCACCTTGGGATTGCCCGCCGAGATGTGGTACTAACTCTCGCATTTAATTCTCCACTCGTTTAATTTTCTGTCAGATAGTATATTACTTGTTTTTTTTCTTGTACTTCTGTCTTTGCTGTCTTTTTCTAGTTACTTTGATTTTCTCGTCCTTTGTGAGCTTAGTTTTCTTCGTCATTTGGCTTTCTTTCTGGTATTGTTGTGCTATTTTCAGACTAATTTGTGTAGCCCCATGACTTAAAACTAGTTGAACGCATGGTCTCTGGCTTTTATTATCAGAACCAAAGTTGGGAAATTGCATTCCCATTTCGTTCCTCCCAAGAATCCAAGTCCAAGAGTGATTTGTCCTTTTTTATTCAGATTGAGTTGCTTTTGGAGGTGTCATTGGTCTTTATCTCTGAATAGGATGTATGGAATAGTCCTTTGAAAAAAGTTTCTGTACTTTCTAAGCTTGGATTCTCGGCGTACAAATAATCTCAGAGAAAGTGTAAATGTTACTACCAACCATGAAGAGGGACATTCGGATTCGCTCTGCAGGTTATAGTACAATTTTTTTCTCTGCTCCCAAAAGGCAGAACTTGCTGAAGAACCTAAAAGAGAAAAGAAAAGCTTTTATTCATCCGGAAAAGGCAAAAAATGAATACTTGTAAGATAGCTCTTCTTCAGTTTGATGGTCAATAGTCATACTTACTCTTAGAATGGGTCCCTTGTTACTTAAATTGAGTCTGCATCAGCAGTCTACAGACATGTGTGTAACGAGTTGGCTCCTAATGAGACCAGAGAACCTAGGAATCAAGTCTAGCTTTTATATGGTGGCTTTTAATGAGCTAGAATGTTCATAAAAGTAGATAGTAGAGGGAGATCTTTATGTTTTGGTAAATAGAGGGGAACCTTCATGGTTATTAGGATCATGGCTACTTTCTATTATTCTTTGTAGTGCCCTATGCTTTTAAATTTTGTTTAATGATTGCACACCTAATCAAAGAGCCGGGCCGAATGGGCAATGAGGTTGACTTTCTCCATTGTTATCTACCTTGTTATTTGAAACAACCTAAGACTGCAGAGATTTATGAAATTATTCTTAATGACCTCATTTATCAGCTAAAATATACATAGGAAAATCTGAGAATTTTAGTATAATTTGTTATAAATGGACTTGCTTAAATGTTTTAGCCCACTTTACTGTTCAAACTTGACTTCATTTTCTCTTTTCTAGATGCCAAGGTATTGTGAATCTCCTGCCTGAATGCATACGACTTTCTTTTGGGCTTATGGCCAATCTTTGCTTGTTTGAGCAGGTTGCAGTGTTAGCCCCAAATATTCCAGCAATGTACGAGCTACATTTTGGAGTTCCAATGGCCGGTGCAGTTCTATGTACGCTCAATATACGCCATGACTCCACTATGGTGGCAGTGCTACTGAAGCATTCAGAAGCCAAAGTGCTTTTTGTAGATTACCAATTTCTCCATATTGCTCAGGGAGCAATGAAAGTACTATCCAACACAAGGTCTAAGCTGCCCCATCTAGTCTTAATCCCAGAGTCTAATCAGCGAATTCCCACCACTTACAACAGCAACCCAATATCTACAAACTTGGACTATGATGGTCTTTTAGCAATGGGGAAACTAGATTTTGAGATCAGAAGACCGGAAGATGAGTGGGAACCTATCTCAATTAATTATACTTCTGGCACTACATCAAGCCCAAAAGGTGTTATATATAGTCATAGAGGTGCCTATCTTAATTCTCTAGCAACAGTTCTTCTCAATGAGATGACCTCAATGCCTGTATATTTATGGTCCGTCCCCATGTTTCACTGCAATGGCTGGTGTCTTACATGGGGCGTTGCTGCTCAAGGTGGTACAAATGTATGCTTAAGAAATGTCTCTGCAGGAGGAATATTTCACAACATTGCTGAGCACAAGGTGACCCACATGGGTGGTGCACCTACGGTTTTGAACATGATAATAAATGCTCCAGCGAGTGACCAAAGGTGTCTTCCAGGGAAGGTTGTGGTCATGACAGGTGCCGCACCACCACCAGCACCTGTACTTTACAAAATGGAAGAACTGGGATTCAGAGTGGTTCACTCATATGGCTTGACAGAAACCTATGGTCCAGGAACAATTTGCAGTTGGAAACCAGAATGGAATTCCCTTCCTCGAGATGTACAGGCCAAGTTCAAGGCTCGGCAGGGGTTGAATCATCTCGGTGTAGAGGAAGTTGATGTCAAAGATCCTGTTACAATGAAGAGTGTCCCGCATGATGCAAAGAGTTTAGGAGAGGTTATGTTTCGAGGCAACACTATCATGAATGGATACCTTAAAAATGTCAAAGCAACAGAGGAGGCTTTCCATGGTGGATGGTTTCGAAGTGGGGACTTGGGAGTGAGACACCCAGATGGCTATATAGAACTCAAGGACCGCTCCAAGGACATAATCATTTCTGGGGGAGAAAATATCAGCTCAATTGAAGTGGAATCAATGCTTTTTAGCCATCCAGCTGTGCTTGAGGCAGCTGTGGTGGCAAGACCAGATGATTACTGGGGGGAGACACCTTGTGCATTTGTGAAGTTGAAGGATGGATGCAATGCCAGTGCTGAAGAAATTATCAACTACTGTCGGAACCATTTGCCCCATTACATGGCTCCTCGAACTGTGATTTTCCAGGATTTGCCAAAGACTTCAACTGGAAAGACGCAGAAATATCTTCTGCGGGAGAAGGCCAAGGCAATGGGATGCATTTCCAAGAGCAAGAGCAAATTGTAGATCGCCATTGATTGGATGGTAAAGGCCTTGTGGCAGGATTGTCGTATGTGTCAACTTTATGTATAAGTATGGTAACAATTGCTCAGCCTTTATTGCAAATGGATGGAATTTGGACGAGATACTAGTAGTTAATGAATCAAACATGAATATAAATCCAAGAAAGGAGAGGAAAAAATGCATCTACTAGCTAGATTTTCAATTAAATTCTTCCAAATTTTTATTCTGGATGTTTCTATTAATCTTCCTTTATAATAGTTTACGGCAGGTAGAAAACTAGAAAATAGAATCAATGCAAATCCTATTTCCTAGTTAAAAGTGGCTTTGCATATATAGCAGATAGATTAAATAATCCCAATTTTGTATAACAAGATCGAAACAATTCCCTTTTCATGATTCTCCCATAAAAGTATCAGTGTTTTTTAATAACTTATTCATGTGATAACTAATCTCAATTTTGAGATTATAAGCTTCAAGTCTAATTGTTTTTGAGCTGATTTTCTTAGTGAATTGTCCTCAACTCAATTGACATTGGACATATTTAACCACTAGGTTTTTTTATTTTGAATTTGTTTGATGTTAACTATTTATTTATTTGGATCGAACTTAGTTCTTTAAATAAAAAAAGACATGCTCAAGTGCATCGACCTCAACTTAAAAAGGTGACGAATTGATTACTATCATAAAGCTAAATTTACCTCATATTATTGGATTGTCCAATCCAACTAATTTTTCTCTTCAAAAGAAATGTGAAAGTGAAAGAGAGAGAGAGGCAAGCGTATAGTTCTCAATTTTTTTGGGTGAGAGATTCAGATCTTTCTATTCATATCTATATTAGTATTATGGGCCAATAGACACATACAAGCAATGGTAAACAAGATATAGTAAAAACTTCCAGGGCAGAAAGATTGGGAATGGGAGAGGAAATGAAGCATCAGAACAAGCACGAAATTAATTCGACCATCGTTGGTCTGCATTATTCATTTGAGGTTCCAGCTTTCGGTGTTTCTCTACTCTTGGTCATTATTTTTTCGGGATTGCTTCTGTTGCAGCAGTTGATAGTTTTATGGCGTCAAGGCCTGGGGATTGGAAGTCAAAACAGGTTGCTTAGAGACCTTAACATCCATTGCAATTGCTTGGCTCGAACTCTCGACCGTCGATGGCTAATACCAGCCTGTTTTACTGATCTAACGCAGCTTTGACTTGAACCCTGTTTCTCTCTTTTTTCGAGGTCGGTGACTCGGTTCGATTTTGTCCTCGCCAAACTTAAAGAGGGTAAAAACAAATGCCAACTGGACCTCATTACTGACTGTAGCATTTGTCACCCATGCAGCCATTACTTGACAGGACAACTCCGGCTTCTTTTCTATCTTATCTCCATTTCGGCACGGAAAAGAAATTATCTGTGCATGATTTTGGTGCATCTACTGTAAAAAGTTGTGAAAATTTGGGTTAGAATTGTCTTTCAGAATCTACGTGGATCCAGAAAATGAGCAAAGTCTGCCTCTTTGGATGTATAGCGGCACATATATGAGAAATAATCGACAAAGAAACGTGAACTTCATTGTTGTTTTGGACCACAATGGAGACGGATAAGATGATTGCGATCATAGACGCTGGAATTAGCGGCTTGATGGCATGCAAGTATGCAGTAGAAAAAGGTTTTAGTCCCATCGTGTTTGAGGCGAGGAGTGGCATTGGTGGAGTTTGGTTGCAAACAATAGAGTCTACTGTCAGACATTGTACAACGATTTGGAGAATATTGGAGGAATTTTCAGATTCATTTCATCCTCTGAAAAACTACAAAAGTCTGTATATGTACAATGTAGAAGAATCAGGAATTTAAAAAGTTAATTAATTACATCGTGCACTTAAAAGCTTCTTCTTTCTTCTTTGGCTTCTTGCGTTTTTGGGTATTTATTTCCTGGCTATTCACAGCAGCAGACTTCTGATACCTTGTTGCTCTGCTTCCTTTATTCTTCCGCTGTATCCATGCTCATGGTTGATATCTGCTAAGCTACAAACAACCAAAGATTTCTATCAGTTCTCTGATTTTTCACGTCCCCCTGCTGTGAGAACGACTTACCCTGATCACAACCAAGTCCTCGAATACCTCCGAGCCTACGCTGTTCACTTCAACATCCTTCCCAGGATCAAGTTCAACTCCAAGGTAACCTGCATCGACTATGTTACTTCCTCTACTTAAGATGGGCTTTCCTGGGATTTGTGGGATGGCTCCGGTGATCCTTTTTCTCCCTCTGGGAAATGGAATGTCACCGTACGATATTCCCGGGATCCATCTGCTCCAACTCAGGTAGCCACTTTCCGTATTGCTTTTCATTTTTTCCCCTTTTCAATTGATTCCGTGCATTCACAAACTTCTACTCGTTTAAATTACCTGTAAACTAAATGAGGCAATTAAACGTTTCAATCCTTCTTCATTTTGGAAAATTCTAACACTTGCTCACGTGGTAACTTACAAGCAGGTGTACCAAGTGGATTTTGTGATTTTATGCATAGGAAAGTACAGTGACTTGCCAAACATTCCTGATTTTCCATTGAACAAAGGACCCGAAGTGTTTAATGGCAAGGTCTTGCATTCCATGGATTATGCTGCAATGGATAATGATCTTGCCGCTGAATTAATCAAAGAAAAGCGAGTCACGGTCATTGGATTTCAGAAATCAGCAGTGGATATAGCAGCAGAATTTGCTAGTAAAAACGGTGCAAGCTTTTGCCTCTTTCTCTAGGAATACTAAAGTAATTTCATTCTTAAATTACGCCAACCTGAATACAGGATGAATTAAATTTGCTAATCATGGTCTATGGAACTCCAGATTTCCCATGCAATTAATTAACCGAATATGAAACAAGTCGATGTTTGAACTTTGAATACTTGTGGCACGAGGATCAAACAATTATGTAACAATTTGAAAGTAGTAGATGAGCAAGAGATGGAATCCTTTTTCTTTACCCCCAAAGCATGATGTTTTGGCATTTAATCTTATTTTTGTTGCTATCAGGAGAAAGACACCCTTGTACGCTGCTGTTTAAGAAGGTCCACTGGACTCTTCCTGAACATTTTCTCCACTTGTCTTTTGAGGTTTGAACCGATTTACAGAGTTAATGGTCCACAAACCAGGTGAAGGATTCTTCCTTTGGCTCCTAGCCCTGTTGCTTTCACCTCTGGTAATCTTCTCTTTGATACTCCTTTAGCAAAACTTGCACATAGCTTTTTCAAGAGAAATTGATTAAGTTTTTAATTTTACATACTTAAACAAAAAAAAAAGGCAATTGAAATTCGAAACCATAGGTAAAACTTTGAGAAAATTGTTAAGTAATCATTAGCAATCATGCAATTGATCCTCGTTATGTTCATTCCAGCTTTGGATATTTTCAACATTAATCGAGTGCCATCTCAAGTGGGTGTATCCATGGAAGAAATACAACATGGTACCAGTCCATAAATTCCTCAAACAAATTTCTTCATATACGTTCACAGTTTTCCCAGCTAATTTCTATGACAGAGTCAAAGATGGTAGTCTTTTCCTGAAGAAATCACAGAGCTTCAGCTTTTGTGAAAATGGTTTGATGGTAGAAGGCTGAGTCTAGACGTCCTCTGCTGTCTGACATTGTAATTTTTGCAACTGGATATAAGGGTGATGAAAAGCTTAAGAGCATTTTCAAATCAACTTTCTTCCAAAAATGTATAGCTAGGTCATCAGCTCCATTCTACAGGTATCTTTTTTTCTTTCTTTTCAGCTAGGACACTCCCTACTCCCTAGGCAACCGTAGTATACAAAGCAAATCTCTTTGTTGATAAAATATTGAAGATATCACATAGATTTTTGTTCTTTCAGGGAGTGCATTCATCCTCAAATCCCACACCTAGCAATACTTGGATATGCAGATAGTCCTTCAATCCTGTATTCCACTGAAATGAGAAGCAAGTGGCTAGCACATTTTCTTGCTGGAAACTTCAGGTTACCGAGGATAAGCAAGATGGAAGAGGAGGCTATGGAGTGGGAAAAATACAAGAGAAGTGATGCGAAAGAGATCTATAGAAGATTTTGTGTGAGTACATCACTACAAATATACTGTAATGATCAACTATGCAAAGACATGGGATGCAATTCTAGAAGGAAAAACTGGTTTCTTGCAGAGCTATTTGTAGCTTATGGTCCTAGGGACTATGAAGCCGATGGGGGAACCAATATTGTACTGATAGATAATGTATCAGGCGAGGCAGTTTGTTCACTTTGAGCTGTCTGAGACTGAGCAAACACATGCACTTACTGCCAATCAGCTCCTACTGAGCTGCTTGCTCATATAGCAGGTAGAGCTAGGTTGGTTTTCTCGAAATCACCTGCCAATTTTGTACCGAACAGAAAAGTAAAAACCATGTGGCAATTTGATTGCTAGGCCTTGCACCAAGACAACTATAAGTCCAATAATCAAAGCGCCTTTTCTTTTCTATTTTTTCACATGGCAAATATAATATCTCATGCATGATGATAGCCAAGTTGTTATCATCGGTCTAGGACAAAGTGCTTTTGGAAATTGAGTTCTCAAGAATAATCCTCTTATGGGTAAAGATGCTCGTAACAACAAATTGTGGGGAAAGAAAGCATCAATCAGTCACTTTCCAATAAACTATCTTAATTGCCTTATTATTTCAGAATAAGGAATTAATTCATCTTTATATGAAAGAAAAAAAAGACATTTTAGTACCTTTTTTTTCCACAACGAAATGAAATTTGCTGTTAAAATATCCCTTGATTGCCATTGCTAATATAATGCTCTCAGATTCGGTCGGCACATTTGTCATATAACTAACTGGCAAGTGCTCAATGCAACAGTTTCAGAGACTGACGGTGACAGTTTATGATAATCAAGGGGTCTCTATCACCAGTAGGTAACCGGAAATTTGAGTAGAGTCATACGCTTCTGTTTTTTTTTGAAAATCAAACTCCTGCTTTTATTAACAGTTTGGGAAAAAGGTTTTTCCCCACAAGAGTACAAACAAAAGAGAGACCAATTTATCAAGTGTATTGATCAGTATTCTCTGACAAATCAGTCAAGAATACCCCACCAATATTTCTTTATCCTCCCGACATCAAGCTCAACCTAAACAAAAAACCCAAAGACCAATCCCAGATAAACACAATAATGCAAACTCTTGGAAAATCCTACAACCGAGAAGAGACCATCTCAAAACAAGACACAATCAAGGCCTAACATCAGAGTCTCACAATTTCAAAACTCAGCAGGGTGATCCAATCGAGCCTAAAAACAAAAACAAAACAAAACAAAAGAGGTCTCTGAACCCTTTTCCTCCCAACAGTATGGTCACGCCTTTGATCAATCATCACGTCCCGATCCATGAACCGGCAGCACAGCTCATCATCGTTCCTTACTCACAATGACTCAAAAGAACATAACCAGAAACCCAGGATCCAACAAACCGATGTCCAGCAAGAAACCACATCGATGCAACAACGACAAAGGCAAAAGGAAGTGCAGGATAGAACCTAACTAACCACCCCTTCAGCCGAGGTCAACATCACATCTTGGGCGGTGCTTGACATCCAATTAGTGAATCATCAAATACCTGGTGCGGATAAACAGACATTGACAACAGCAATTAGAAAATTAACCCACCACAACACAACACAACAAGCTTAAGACTGAGATCGCCAAGCTCTCCGCTGGAAACACAAAACAGAGGCTGAAAGAATTCCGCATCACAGTTACAGCAGCCTTGTCACCACCTCGACTCCCTTTTAACAGTAGACAACAAAACCACACTAAATTCCAATAAGTCAAAAACCACTGAAAATGTTGACCAATAGTAACAAGAGAAAGTTAAGACCAGAAGTTCCAAACCAGGTTTTACCCTGTTGCCAGGAAGCACAAGTCAACCCAATCAGACACCAAGGAAGAATGAGGAAGCCATACCAGACGAAACAGAGGTTCTGCCGAGGCCATTGGACCCAACACCATTTGGGTTCCTTTCTCACTTTAACAATGGTACCAAAAGCGGAGGCCTATTCCAGCACAGACACCAAGTCCTCTGTGCGTTGAACCCCAGCTTTTGCAAGTCGATCGGCCAGTTTGTTATTCTCTCTAAAGGTGTGCCTCACCTCCATCTTCGTACATCATTTTTCAGTCGTTCAATATGGAGAACCCACTTTCTTAATCTCCAGGGTGCTTCCAAAGGTTTGTTCACCCATTTAACAGCGTTACATGAGTCACTCTCAATTATCAAGCTGTGTGATTGGTTCCATTTGGATGGAATAAACAACAAGAAAGCTTCCCGAATTGCTCTAATTTCAGCAAGGTTTGAATCCCCTATGCCTATAGCCTTCGAGAAAATGATCTTAACAAGTCCGTGTTCATCCCTCATTACTCCCCCAATCCCAGCCTCCCCTGGGCATCCTTTGGCTGCCCCATCAACATTGAACTTCATTTCCCCCTGAGCTGGTTTGCACCACCCCTCAACCTTCCTACCTTGTCCCACATTTACTAAATTGCTCCAAATTGGGGAACCTGTAGGTGTCCAGAATCTCACCATACTTCATAAGCCACTTCGCTTTGGCCCAGATGGCTACCCTCAGTTTACTAATTTCATACGCCTGATTCGAATCCCAAGCTATGCCTTTGAAGACAACTTCATTTCTCTGCAGCCATACAGACCATGAAACTGCATAGAAAGCCATTTTCCAAATCTGTCTCTCTCCTTTTGTTATTGCCGCCCATTCCATATGTTAAAAAACTCATAACATTACTAGGGACTACCCAACATGCTCCCCAATCTTCACTCCATTTTGCCCAAACCTTCCATACTTCTGGACAGTGAAGAAATAAATGCCTTGTAGTCTCCTACTCCTGTGACACAAGACACATCCAGCTGCCTCATTATCAATTAATCTCCTTCGTAGGAATTCATACTTGACTGCCACCTTTCATGGATTATCTGCCAACAAAACACTTCAATTCGATACGGTGCTAAATTCGACCATATTCTCTTCCACACACTTTCATTACTCCTTTCCATTTGTGAGTTTTGCTTGCAAAAAGATTTAACTGTGTAATGACCAGAAGCAGTACCTTTCCAGCAAGAGAATCCTTTAAATTTTTGCTTAGATGATATTGTCCAATACATTCTTTCAGTTATTCAGCTGGTCTTCCTCCCATCCAAATGTTGGCCTCTTTAATTGCACTTCCCACACCCATATTTCCTCTTCCCATCTACCAAACTCCGGATGTATCCATCTTTATTCCTTGCAAGGGCAAAGATTCTAGGATAAAGCTCCTTTAAGTACCACCATCAGTCCACCTATCGGCCCAGAACAAAAATTTTGCTTCCATCACTACAACCAGTTGCATGTCAGTGCTGAGCTGCAAAGATGAATCGTTATTTGGGGATAGGGGTTTGATAATATTTTTCCACACTGTTGAAACTCTCCTGTTTGCACTCCTCTCAGGTAAAAGGCTGATGGGATTTTCTCCTACTTTCTCCACAATTACCTCTCTCCATAAACTGCCCATTTCACTCCCATACCTCCAAAGCCATTTATTAAGTAAGGCTCTATTCTTGACCTCCATATCAATGATCCCTAGCCCCCCATTCTCCTTATAGTTGCATACTTTGTTCCACTCAATGTAGTGTATTTTTTGTTTCTCTTCACTTCCGCACCATAGAAACCTCCTTTCAATTTTCTCCAACTCCTTTATCACTCCTTTTGGCATTTGGAATATAGACATGTAAAAGATCGGTAAGCTAGAGAGAACTGACCGAAGTAATGCAACTCTTCCTCCTATAGATAGCGTCTTGGCTTTCCATCCTGCTAGCCTTATCTCAAATTTCTCTATGATTGGTTTCCACGTTTGTAACGAGTTAGGATTTGCCCCTAGTGGCAACCCCAAATACACCATGGGGATATCTTCAAACCTACAGTTAATCCTCTCAGCACAACTCTACCAAATTCTCATCCATTCCTATTCCCACTAGGCTGCTCTTATGAAAATTAATTCTCACCTGAAATTGCTTGGAAGCATCTTAATATCCTTTTGGCATTGACAAGGCTCTCAATCTCCGATTTAAGGAAGATCACAGTGTCATCAGCAAACTGTAAATGGGAGATTCTCAGCCCCCTTATTCCAATTGGAATTCCTTTACACAGTCCCACAGTCTCTCCTCCATCCATCATCTGACTGAATGCCTCTGCCACAATATTAAAGAGGAAAGGCGAAAGTGGACAGCCTTGACGCAACCCACGACCCATCTTAAAAGGCTCTGTTGCCACTCCATTCACAAGAACTGAAACCTTAGCATTTGACACGCACCCCATCACCCATTTCCTCCATCTTTCACCAAACCCCATATTCCTCATCACAAACTGTAGGAAGGTCCAGTCCACACTATCGTAGGCTTTCTCGAAGTCAACTTTCAACATAAAGCCTCCTTCATTCCCTTTTTTTACAAAGTCAATAACTTCGTTTGCTATTAATGAGCAGTCCATCATCTGTCTTCCTTTCACGAAAGCAAATTGTTTGTCACCTATGACCTCTCCTATAACCCATCTTAACCTATTTGCAAGGAGTTTAGCCACAATCTTGTATAAGCTTCCCACCAAGCTAATAGGTCTATATTCTGCAATCTTATTAGGATTGGCCACTTTTGGGATAAGCGTAATAAAAGAATTATTTGCTCCATCCTCAAGCTTACCCTCCTCAAAAAATCTCCTTAAGCTAACCATGACCTCATCCTTAATCAACTGCCACTGATTTTTGAAAAAATTAATGTTGTAGCCATCAGGTCCAGGAGCCTTATTCCCATCGCAGCTACATATCGTATCCCACACTTCTTCTTCTGTTACATCCTTTTCTAAGAAAAGCTTAGCCTCCTCACTCAACTTTTTGAACTGCCTGCCAAAACTTCTAAGGCCTAGGACCTTCCTACTCTTATAAAATTCAGTATAATGGTTCACCACTGCTTCCTTAATTTTTTCTGGATCCTTTACTTCGACATCGCCAACCTGAAGTTGCTGAATGTAATTATTCCTCCTTCTTATCGACGCCATTGTGTGGAAGAATCTTGTGTTTCGATCTCCCTCTAACACCCATTTTGTTCTTGATTTCTGCTTCCACTCTCTTTCCTCTCGTCTATACAAGTCCCATAATGCAGCTCTCTTGCAAATTACTTCTTCTCGGGTTCCATTCCTTTCCTCCCCTTCTTGTAATCTCTCATTAAGGTGTTGAAGTTCCATTTCCAGCTTGGAAATCTTCTCTTCTGTGTTGCCACATACTTGCCTATGCCAGTCTTTTAAAACACTTTTTAGCCCTTTAAGCTTCCTCCACATCCCTGGACTCTCCTGATTATTTGCCTGTTGAATCCAAAATTCTCTCACCACTATATTAAAACTTTTTTCCTCCAGCCAATAATTAAAACACTTGAAAGGTTTCGGTCCCCAATCAAATTGTCCTGGCCCAAGAGCAATGGGATTGTGATCAGATAACGAAATAGGCAAACACTTCTGAAGTAAAGTGGCCTCCGAATCCAGAATCTCAACGTCAACTAGAAACGATCTAACCTACTATAAGCTGGCATTTCACGGTTATTACACCATGTGAATTTTCCTCCCCAGAGGGAGGTCCACCAAACCCACTTCATTTATAAATTCATTGAAACTAGCTGCTGCTCTCCCAATCTCCCCACTGCCCACTCTCTCTTCTTCATTTCTTACAACATTAAAGTCACCCCCTAATACCCATAAAGTTCCTGCCCCTCCCATGATCTGTTTGATTTCTTCCCAAATGCCATTTCTCTCCCCTTCATCATTAGGAGCGTAGATATTGCCAAATCCACATTTTATCCTTGAGGCTTTAATTTCTCCAATCAATAAGATATAATTCCTATGGATAATGCACTCTTCCAGTAAGAAAAATTATCCTGCCACATACATAACAATCCACCCGACCTTCCAACTGATTGAACTGTCTTACCATTAATCTTATCTCTTGGCCATAGTCTTTCATACATTCCTTCATATGAATTTTGCATCTTGGTTTCTTGGATAGAAACCATGTTCGGTTTATTTCTCCTAATCAACCTTCGCATAGCCCTCTTTTTCTCCCCACTACCCATGCCTCTTATGTTCCAAGATAATATAATCATTGAAAATAGGATAACCCAACTCACCTTGACATCTCTTAGCTGTCTCTACCTTCCCCCTTTGTCTGGTGTTCCATCTTGAGCAACCAGTTCTTTGAATGTCCTGATCACCTCTGCTCTTTCTTCTTCGAATTCAAGCCCAAGACTAGTACTCACATCCATTGTTGCAAGAGCTTCCCTCCACATTGCCTCATTTTTGAGTTCAATATCCTGTTTGAGACCAGATACACTACATTGTCCTCCATCTCTCTTTTTAACTTCATTCCCTTCTTGTGCTGCTTTTTTTATTTTTTTCTTTACTTTCAACTTCTTTTTCCTCTGTCTATCTCCATCTTCCCTATCCCCTATCTTCACAAGGTCAATTGTCTTTTTCAAGCTTTTCTCTGCTGGGTTTTCTGATTCCTCTTTTTGGTTCTGGCTCGACTAAGACTCTGCCCAATGGCTGCTTCCTTCTTGATCCATCTCCTTCAACTCTGGATTTTTTTTCTTTGTTCTGAGTATTTCTTCATGCAAGCTGGAGGCCTTATCTACCTTTCTTGATGATGCTGATTTCTTGATTAAAACCCCTGTTTTTCTTTTTTTCTTTCCATTCTCTCCTTTTTTGAGGTCTCTTAACACAACATCTCCTGAACTTGTTAACCCAGGGTCTTTGAGTTTCTTTTTCAATGTTAACCCTCTCTCAGGGATTTTTTTTCCATCTTTTTTCACACTTTTTACTTCTTCAGAAACTTGCGAAACGCTATCCACCCCCCTATCTCCCTCCCCTGAGTGCCACCAAGTTTTGTTGTCCCCACTGCTATGCAACGTCATCCTCTCCATATCCCATTTTGATTTGGATCTTTAAACATCTCTCTTCCTTGTGGTGAACTTTGTTTGAAGTCCTCTCCTAATAAGCTGGACTCCCTATGCTCTTTTTTGCCCATTCCCATTTTGGACCCATTCTCTTTATCTTTTCCCAGTCCATCTTGATTACTGTTTCCTTCCTTTATCTCTATTCCTTTTTTTCTTTGACCCAGCTCTATCTTCTCTTCTTTCTCAATCCCTCCTCTTCCTGCATTGGGCTCATTTTCTCTCTCAAATAGCCTATTGTTTCGCTCTACTATTCTTCTTGGGCTTGCCAAGCCTTTCTCACCACCTTGTTTTTCTTTAGCCCATTCAACCTTTTCAACCTTTGAATTTTCAAATTTTCCTCTCCTTGTCTCCATCCCAAATTGTGGGTCCCCTCAGTCCCACCCTGAGTCCTTGGCTGTTGGAACCTTCTGCTTGCCTAGTCATGCTAGTTCTACTTTCTAGCACCATGTCAGGTTGATCTTCCCCAGGTTTAATCTCAACCCTCCCTTTTCTGACTTGTATCATATCCATCCCATGGACTGTTGATCCAGCCCCCATTTCGTCTGCCTGTTGACTTTCTTAACTCTTTGATGGTCTCAATTCCTCCAATTTCTCCAAATTCCTTCCGATCACCGGTAAAATTTTCTGATCAATATCCATTGTTTCAGTTTCTATGATTGTTGCTCTCATGATACATTTCTTTCCATTGACTATCACTTGAGGGCATGCCGGGACCCGTCTTTTACTAGTCACCTCAACCTTTATAATTGCTTGATCCAACCGGCTCTTCTTCTCCGTTGCCTGATCAACTGTGATAAATCTTCCCCAACTTTCACCTAACGCTTTGAAGATTTTCATGTTCCATAAATGTGGTGGCAACTCCTCCACTTTCACCCAAACCTTGTACCTCCGCTCATCATTCTCAAGGCTATATGGCTTAAGTTCCTGAAACCATTTTTCAAAAATTTCAAAATAATGCTTCAAAAGAGTTTCCATCTCTTCTCTATCATCAAAAATGACCAATACGTTCATTCCTCCAACCGGCCTCACCCTTGCGGTTACCCCTTCACCAGCTAGATAGCTTTCAATGACTATGCAACTTACAGTCTCTCTTAAGTTACCTATGGCGCTGCGTTGTACCCATTCAACTTCATCGGCTTCAATAGGCACTCTAATTCCTTCTGGTTCCTTGGGTTCTTGAAATGGTTTTATGTCTCCGTATTCCATCTTTGGTTTCCTTGAGTCTGCATTATCACAGTAAAACGCCCCATTGGTAACCACCTCTCTAAAGGTTCTCCTTCCATTCCCTGCCCCCATCTCTTGCCAGTCCCTAGCCTGTCTTCCTCTTGCTCTGTACGAGCCTTCCTTTGGTTTATCGGCTTCTTTAATACTTAAAGCCCTACCATCCAACCTTCTGTTCTGACCCATTTCAATGGCTCTGTTTAGCTCCACTCTGTATCGATACCTTACAAAGGCATATCGTGCGATTCTATTCCTTGATACTCTAGGTAAGTAGATGTCTACAACCACCCCAAATTGGTCGAAGAAAGCTTTCAAGTCCTTCCACAAAACTCTCACACTGACATTATCAACAAAAGCTGTGAAAACAGTCTTCCTCCACCTATCAAAATCCGTGTTCTCCCATCTTTTTCCCTTCCATTGTTCCCTTCTGTTTCGTGTTTATCTTTTCTGCAGCTCCCATTCGACGGTCATCCCGCCTATCCGCATACTGGCTCTTTCTCTCACTCGCTCTCTCTCGTTCTCTCTCATCTTTTTTTTTTTTTTTTCACCTTCCAGCGGTTGGAACAGAGTCCGTTTCTTCAGCAAGAAGTTGGTTGAGCAGTATAAACCAACTGCTCTGCTTGTAAATCTGGATTGTTGCAGAAGAAGCACTGGCTGGTTCTACTGAACTTGGTGGCGGTGACAGGTTATTTCTGCTCTAATGACTAAGGTTGACATTGCCATTATTGGGCCTAATTCAGTGTAGATCTTGTATCTGAAAATTACATAAATTTTCCCACACCATTCTTTCTCTCCCTAATGAATCCAGTAAGTAGATACTTAATCGATCATCAACAGATAGAGAAAATAACCATGAATGATCGAACAAGAAACAGAAATCCAGAAACAAGTTTGATGACAAAGGAGAACGGGGTTTAGATCATGACCTTGCACGGACGGTTTTTGATGACGATATAACCATTCTTGAGGATGGTACCAGCTTGCCGAGGGAAAGTCTTGAGGCTCCAGTCACTGAAGGGAAGTTAACACTCGATCTGAGATCTATTACAGTTCGACTTGACGGCACAATTGTTGCTCCTACCGATTATCGTGCACTAGGAAACTCTGGCTACTGGATCCTGTTCATTAAGGTGAACAGAGTTTTGGTAATCGGCGGCACTTTGATACAAAGGATGCTGACTTTTGGACATGCAGGAAATCTGGAAACAGTTGCCCCGTTGGAGCTCAGGTAGGCTAAAGCTGGGATTAACCGACAAGAGGAGCTCCTTCACATTTTTGATTAAGCTGCTAGGGAGATTTAGATCGAGATCGAGGAACTAGTTCTGCAAGGAGATGCAGTTGGTGATCTGGATCTGGAGCGAGATCGGAGCAAATTATTAGGGATTATTTGGATGAGCCTAGTCCCAGAGCCCGTAGAGAATGGAAGATCAGATGACGCATCCGTCATACGCTTCTGTTAGCATGTTGGTGTCCGGTCGGCAGCCTTGATCTCATCAACATTTCCATCAAATCAGAAAAGCCCATAGGATCAGATTTTGAGCTAGTTCTAGTTTCTTTTATTTGATCAGTTGGACTTCCATTTTTTAATCCTCATTTGCATTAGGAATGCTAATGAGTAAGGGTGGGAAAGGATCATCCCAATATACCAATTTCTGAAGGGGCGGTATCTAGCATTGAAGGATTCGCCTCGACTACGAAATTAGAGTAGACGACAACAGAAGAATCTTTCTAGTGAGTGCTTAATCTGACACTAAAAAGGCGTTCCTCTTCGGAGATATAAAGGCAGGTTGAACCCGTTCAACCTTTCATCAAAGTGGGAGTAAGGTAAAATATTGCGAAATGGAAGTGGAAATCATTTCCACACAACACATAAAACCATCCTCTCCTACACCTCAACACCTTAAAATCTTCAAGCTCTCACTTTTGGACCAGTTTATTCCTTCTTCATATGCTCCAATCATCCTGTTTTATCCTACGGATGAGTCCACTAGCCATCTTGAGATTCCTAGCAGATTAGAGCTGCTGAAGAAATCTTTATCAAACACATTAACAAGCTTTTTCCCTCTTGCAGGAAAGATCAGAGATGATCTTTCTATCGAGTGCAATGATCAAGGAGCTTATTTTGTTGAAGCTCGAGTAAACTGTCGTCTCAATGAGTTTCTTAATCAGCCTGACCTACTCTTTTTACCTCGATTCCTTCCCCGTGAGTTCATTTTGGACGAACCAACTGCAGGAGCTTATGTAACCAATGTTCAAGTAAACATGTTCGAGTGTGGCGGTATTGCTATTGGCATATGCATTTCACATAAGATTCTTGACGGTGCTGCCCTGAGCACCTTCCTCAAAGCATGGACTGCAGCAGCTTGTGGCTGTAAGGAAGCTATATATCCCAACTTTATCGCTACGTCTCTCTTCCCCACAGATGATTTGTGGCTTAGAGATTCATCACTGGTCATGTGGGGTTCTTTGTTTAAGAAAGGCAAGAGTGTTACTAGGAGAATGATATTCGGTGCTTCATCAATAGCCGCTCTCAAGGCCCAAGCTACCATCCCAGGCCTCCAATGCCCTAGTCGCGTTGAGGCTGTTTCAGCTTTCTTATGGAAGTGCACCATGGCTGCCTCCAAAGAAAAAAATGGTTTTCAGAGGCCTTCTTTATTAACCCACCTTGTAAATCTACGGAGAAGAATGGTGCAGCCCACGGAGAATTCTACTGGAAATCTCCTCTGGATTGCATCTGCGAAAAGCAAGGTTGAGAACAAGTCAGATTTGCCTGACTTGGTAGGACGGGTGAGGGAAGCAATATCCAGAGTTGATGGTGATTTTCTAAAGAAACTACGAGATGATAAAGGGAAATCTCTAATGTGTGAAACTCTCAGAGAAATAGGTGATCTGGTCTCCAAAGACGGGTTGGACCATTTTGGATTTAGCAGTTGGTGTAAGTTTGGGTTTTACGAAGCTGATTTTGGTTGGGGAAAACCTGCATGGGTCAGTAGCTTTGGGATGGAACATTCGGTGTACATGAATCTCATCATTCTGGTTGACACACGATTTGGCGATGGCATAGAAGCATGGGTGACCTTGGATGAACAAGACATGGCAATACTTGAACGTGATGAGGAGCTCCTCAGATTGGCTATGTTCGATCCGAGTCCATTGATGATCAGCAAGTCGGCTCTGATTTAGCTCGCCGGTTCTCATTTTTGGTCATTGTTGTCTATTCCCTAAGTAACAGTTTTCCAAAGGCAAGGATCAAATTTGTTTCTGGCAAGGAAAAATGCACTAAACTATGTTTATACCAATTGTAAATTACAAGTATTTGGAGCTTGGCAATAGACATATCATTTTAATATCATATATGGCCCATCATCCCAAAAAAATAAAAAATGTTAACACAAGGATGAAATAGCAGCATCTACTAATGGCCATGTCACCGTGAGAAGCTAAGACGCTAGTTCAGCATCCAAAGTAGTAATGGGCCACCCACATGCAAGTTGAAACCCTCCTAATCAGGTTTGAGAAGTTCAGGCTCAAAAGGCAACGGACAGACCAGGCCCATATAGTGGGCTCCGAAGCTTGCAGCAGCCCATCTATGTATCTTCCACTAAATAATTAATAATGGACAAATTTATTAATTATTTTGAATATAATTTTAAATTTATTTGTTATTTCAAATTTAGGTTCGAATATTAATAACCAGATCTTAAGTATTGATTTATTGAGAAATAAAATTTTAATCCAATTTAAAAGTCGGATTCAGATATTTTAAATATTAAGTTCGGAATAACCCATCTACTACTATTAACTAAGGAATAAATTAATTAACCGTTTCTGGAATCCGATCACAGAAGAGCTTACCGACCCTGTCACGGCGAGATGGAAATAAATAATGGAAGTAATGAAATTAATTAATTAATTAATTAATTAATCAACGACACTCGTAATAAACAAAAAATAAAATAAAATAACATAAAAACCAAGGCCGTTGAACGTGGAAAATCCAGGAGACAAACTGACAAAACCGCACATTCTCTCTCTCTCTGCAGCCAATTCATCGCCGAAGCTACAAAAGTCTTTGCGGCGAAAGGAATCATTTATTTATTTTTGCCTATTTCTTCTTCCTACAAAATATGAAATGAAAATTAAGACAGAAACCTGCCCCAGACCAGCAGCGTCAGCGTTTCTCTTCTTTTTCTTGTCGTTCCATTGGCCATGGGTGGTTCCTTTCTCCTCTTGTCTTCTTTCCTCCTCTCCATTTTTGCTTGTTTGCGAAGCTTCTCCCTCGTTTACGCCGATACTAATCTCACCCAACCGTCATTTACCCCCATCAACCGCGATCTCTACCATTCAAGGTATGTTTTCTCATCAGTTTATTTCTCATGGTGTGGAAATTTCAAGATTCTGTTATGTCTTTGAATTTCGAGAAACAATTGGTAAAGTTTTTCACTTGTTTTCCTTCCTTTTGTACGGCGTTTGATTTAATATGAATATAGGATAATCAAATTTGTGCATCAAGGATCAAGCTTAGCATTTCCGTCCGTGTTGGTACTTAGTAGTCTAACGACAAAATCTCGAACTTGCTTGATATTTACTTTTTTGTTCTTTACCTTCCCAGGAATCAATAAGCAGAATATTCTAATTTTAATTTTCTTTAATATTTTGATCGCTGAATGAATCTTTTGAACCAAAAATAATAAAACAGACTTGGTTTGCTGCAAACTCCTGCGGAAATATATAAGATTGAAATTCAGTTCGCTAAGAGAAACCCACAGTAGATTCAAGTAGGGAGATTTCTATAACAAAATGTGTTCTTGATTCTTCCTTAGTCTTCTGTGATCAAATTGGCCGTCTGATCTTCCTTGCAACCAGAGATTTAAAGCCTTCTGTAATTTGAACTTTTCCAGATATGGTAAATTTAAGCTTGCCAGACTAGCTTTGCAAAGTTTTCATGGATATCCTCGATTTTTTTAGATTAATTTGGCATGGTGAAAATTGCCAGACCATATTTGATTGTTTGATTTTGAACTTTCTGCCATGTTTTTAAGGTTAACTGGTTATTTAGATCTCTAGAATTAATGACATGAGAGTAACAGTCTGAGAATAGCCTGAAAATCCAAATGAGCTAATCTTAGTCTAGATCGTTGAAACTTTTTTTTTTTTTATGGAAAGGTTGTTGAAATTTATGACTTACCAAGTTTCTTAACATGTCAAGGATCTAGTTCAGAACCAAACATATGTTTGCCTTTTTTCAATCTTTGAATCGGGTGTGTGATTGGAGTTTGAATTCTAGAGCTTTATTATTTTGATTTCTTGTTTTACTAGAATGGGGGTTTTAATTTACTTTTATACTGTTTTGCAGTAATGATTTGATTGAACAGATAAAGTCTTTGGTCCATCGACACCCTGACAAATTTACTGTATGTGGACTACAACTTCTATATTTGGTAACAATTATTCTGTTGTCATCTGGTTTATAATAATTCATACTATAAACAGGTAGAAACAATTAAAGCTGGGAACAAAGGCTACGGAGCAGAGATCACTGTTGTTACTTATTGTCGAAGTAGGAAAGAGAGTGATGAGAGGTCAAAGTTCCGGATCCTTCTTGTAAGTTTCCTGCATAATCATGTTTTACTGAATAGTAGTATAGGAAGAAAAATTGATGTTTTTGCTTTCTAGTTATTAAAGATTTTAACAGATGGGAATCTAATGCTTAAATTTGCATACAACCACTGTAACTGTGAACCCTGTTTCTAATTTGATATGTAGTTAATAGATGATCTCAGATTGGTATTTGCTGGTGTTCTTGACAGATGATTCCTTGTCTTCCAGAGTTTTGGGCAGCATGGGAGGGAGCTTATCACATCTGAACTGGCATTGCGTATCTTGTCAATCTTAAGTGAAGAACAGTTTCTAACCAAGATGGACCGAGCTTCCATAAATAGTGCCCTTGATAATTTGGTTATAAAGGTAATTTCTATTTACTAGCAAGAACAGTTCTTGGCTTCTGTTTTCCCACAATATGAATGTAACTGGTTTCTGTATGGTAAAGGGAGTTTGTTTATGCAAATTTAGTTAATCTCAAACTTCAATTATAAGCTTGCTATAGGAGGAAGTATGAATAAACTTTAGTTATCATTGTATGGCCCTCTGCCATGAATTCCAGAATAGATTCCAATATTCAAAATCCTTTCTCCCCCTACGCCACCTAGTGGCATTTTATTTCTTAATATTTAGACTTCATTTTCTTTGATTTCTTGTGAAAATTAGAGTTTCATCAGTGGTATCTGCCTTGCCATCAAAAGGTCTTACATATTTAACAGCAAATCTTATTAAGGAAAAGCTTCCTCTGTCTTGTTTGTTTGTTTATAACTTGCAAGATCATTATTTTTTCTCCCTGGTTAACTAGTCAATAATTATTGCGAATTTATTACCCTCTTAGATTGATTCTCAATTGGTAATATGTCTCCTAGGATCCAATCAGGCATACATGTTCTATGAACATGTGATGCAGGATATATGTTGTAAAATTAAAATAATAAAAAAATTGCCTGATTTTCTTTACTTATTTTGAGAAATAGTACATTGACCATTAGTAACTTGAGTGCTAATGTCAAATAATATGGCAGGTAGTGCCAATGGAAAACTTGAATGGCCGGAAGCTTGTTGAAGAAGGAGATCTTTGTGAAAGGAGAAATGGTAATATGATTTCTCTTATAAATATAATATATCTATGACCTTTTGGTAAGAATTAAAATTTTCTAAATTGATTTCTTTGGCAGGGAGAGGAGTTGATCTCAACCGGAATTGGAGTGTAGATTGGGGAAAGAAGGAGAAGGTTCATCATACCTCTCAATTTCTTCATGCAAATCCTATTTCGTATAGTTCTTACTGCAGTTACATGTTTAAGTTTTATCTTCAATTTCATGATAAGGTTTTACTTTTGAATGTTTTCTTCAATTATAGGACTATGATCCATATGAAGAGAATCCTGGAAGTGCTGCTTTTAGTGAGCCTGAAACCCAAATCATGCGGAAACTTGCCATATCATTTGATCCTCACCTATGGGTTAATGTACACTCTGGGATGGAGGTGAGTGATCCTGAAATTCATGTTAGCAGTTCCTTCTTTTTTCTTCATTTACCAATTTTTGCCTTAACTATTGTTCAACGCTGAAGCCGTTCTTCCCTAAGAATTGCAGCCTTAAAGTTCTTTTTTGGACATTGAAATCTCTCGGAAATATTCACATGTAGTACAAGGCATTGTTTTTTTAGCCTGAAATGTTTTGTCAAGAAGAATTAATGGAGTTAGTGTGCAATATGCAACCATACATGATAAAAACTCATAAAGGAAAGATGATCTTTCTAATCAAGAGAAAACTTTGGATGTAGAATTTGGATAATGTTGGTAAGAGCGTATAATAAAAGATTTAATATCCTGTCAGAAGATGATTGATTCTTGCATTTTATAATGTTATCGTATCTCTGATTGCTTGTAGTTCAGTTTTTGAATCAAACACCGGTATGTTTTGCGGAAGAATTGCCATCTCTGCTCGAGTATGAATTGATTGGACTGAATTTAACATATATTGGCTTGGTAGAGTTAATTTGAGATATTTCTTTCACTTATATCCTAATCAATGGTGCTCAAGCTTGCTTTAGCTTTTTGGTCCTTTTCTTTTCTCTTAGGGATCGATCTGGTGTGCTCTGTATGACATCTTCTTGGTTTATATTATAATTCATGTAGGCACTATTTATGCCATATGACCACAAAAACACAACGCCTGACGGATTGCCATCACAGCAAATGAGATTGTTGCTTGAAGAACTGAATAAAGTTCATTGCCACAAGCGTTGCATGATTGGTTCTGGTGGAGGTTCTGTCGGGTTTGTATTTCTCTATTTTGAAGCACTGATGACTTGTGATAGCATCATGCTACTTAAGTATGTAATGTATATTTATAGTACTCCAAGAACTTGAGGTATAGGCATTGGCAACTAATCATTCTTACAGCTTCGTTATCATTTCTTCTAAGTTTGTCTTTTGGAAGCCAACTTTTGTCAAATATTTCTATCCTGTACAAGTAATTTATAGTTCATGCCAATGACTTCATTCTTGAAATGCTTCGTTTTGTATACTAGACAACTCTATAGTTCAGTGAATTACATATATGCAACCAACGGCATGAGATTAAAAGTCTCAAATGGGGGTTTTAATGGCAATCTTTCTGGTTTCCTCACCAAAAATAAAAGAAAAACGAAATCTGTGTTTTTTATATATTTTTCTTGTTTTCATTCAATCTGATCCCACTAAAATATGAATGTTACTAATTTCAGGTATTTGGCACACGGGACAGCAACAGATTACATGTATGATGTTGCAAGAGTACCCATGGCATTCACCTTTGAGGTATTTTCGAAATGCAAACTCTCTTTTCAGATAATAAGTTAATTAAAGCAAATTCACCTCATTAATAGAGCCATACCTTGCATGTTGGTTACAGATCTATGGAGATGGTACAGCATCAACAAAAGACTGCTTTAAAATGTTCAATCCAGTTGACCATACCACCTTCAAGGTATGTTACCTTGCCTTAATTGCTTACGCATTTTTTTTTTTTCATTTTGTTATTCTTAATATAAGTTCACATATATTTACAAGTTTTTGAACTCTTTCTACTAGAGGAAATTATGGTTGATTGATGATAAAAGTGATTGGTTTATTTTCGGTAACAAAGATTTTGTTTGGGTTTTCAGAGAGTTGTCAATGACTGGTCTGCTGCTTTTTTCACAATTTTTAAGCTATTACCTCGTCAGCTTGATGTCCATACCAAAGCTGCTGTATCTAATTTGGAGAAATGGGTATCCATAGATGAATATCTTGATGGTTACTTAATGGGGAGGAGAAACAGATACGGGAAGAAGATGGAGGTGCTTGAGGTTGGAATGCAGGAAATAAGAACATATTTCAGGCTTTTCTTGTTATCCTCAGTACTGTTACTGTTCATGTTCTGTTCCAGAATTTCAAAAAGTAAGGGTGGCAGACAAATTGTTTCGGCCATGCCTCTTTGACATTTTACATAGAATACAAATGAGAGAGAGCTGTATGTTAATATTCTTTGGTCCATAAAGATGTATGCTGTGATTTGCAAAAGTGAACAGAGATATTTTTGTACGTGTTGGTTACATTCTTCTTAGATAATGTAGATATTTTTTGACGATTCTTTGCTGGGTATCAGTGCTAATGCTTGCTTTGCTGCTATGGAAACGTGATTTCAATCTTTTATTTATTAGTAATTTTTTCTAGTAAAGAGATCACTGTCATTTGGGATTAAGCCACAAGACAGTGCGTGCAAGCTTTTGATAATTTTGAGGTAGTTTGCGGGCAGCCAGAAGGTTCATAGCAACTGACATTGACAGAGAGAGGGAGAACAGAGTCTTAAGACATTCATCACTGCTTTGCTGGATATTGGTTTCTATATAGAATGGTTATTGTTTTGAAATATAATACAAGATACAGGCAACGAATCAGTTTCTATTTGTAATGGTGAAAAAAAATTGTTTCTATCCTAAATGAAAAGAAGAGAGGGATGGCCTTCATCATGTCTAACGTATGATAGTCCTGACATGACAAGTTTCCTCATTCCAAGCTTTGGAATACGGCTCCTGGAGTTCAATCACTCGTAAGAGTCACACGAGGATGACCCTGCTTGGCAGCATGAACTGAGGTCCCTGCAAAAAGAAACCAATTTACAGATATAGCAGAAGACTATCATGATTTTTTGCTACATAATGGCATGGCTGAAGAGTGCCCATTCACTTTCAATTCAACACAGACCTACTTTTTGATCATTTTAATTTAAGGCCCTTGTCAGCCAAAACTGCTTGAAAAATTTGCTTGCTTCCAAGATGGCATTATATGAAACGTTCATACATCAGGCAAAGACCACGGCTACTAACCTCAAATTGATAACTCAAACATCGGTTGGTTCCGTCATCAATTGCTTTAGTTATATGGACAATTGATTGTCATCTATGACTTCACTGTCTGCTTCATGTATCTCAGAGCAGACCGCAACATTGCCCTAGCTTTCCTATCAGGAGTGCAGCCAGACAAAATCATCTCTTCATAGACAGCTGGGACCTGAACCCAAACCATACAGAGTATCTTTAAATAACAAGACATAAATGTTGCAATTATTAAAAGATGATATGGTGCAATGAATTACAGAAATGTAGTAGCAACAACAATCAGGATCAGTATCACAGATCTATTAGGTCTTTCAAGATTTTAGCGAATAGGACACCTAGTAAATGTTGCTATATGCAAAGAGGAGAGAGAGGGAGAGATGGATGTGGGAACAAAAGATCCGAGTTTATGGTTGCTTTCTGTTGAGAGTGACTTCACTACCAATACTCAAATCTGCAATAACTATAGTTAAATGAAAGAGCAAGAACACAATAACTGCAAAAAGAAAACACACTAGGCAACTAATCCAAATGGCCAAGCAGACAAAAAGCACAGCAAATATTACTTGCAATACAGGAAGCAGAGGCTAATATCTCATTCTCGTAGCCATAAGGACACATTAATTGATACCTTATGAAACTTGTCAACACGTATAAGAGATTTCATGAGTGTGGTATAGGTGACTACATCTGGTTTCACATCCTGTATATAAATTGAACCAAATAATAATGTCATAAGTATCACTTAGAAAGAATAGTACTAATATTTTCAAGGCAGGCAAACAAAGGTAACAGGGTACTAACATTTTCCTTCATATATTGTAATACAGCAAAGGCCTCAACATCCCTTCTATCCTCACCAAAAGCATTTATTAGTGAATTGAGAGCCAATAGATTAGGCTTTAGGCCATCAGCTCTCATAATCCTTAATGCATTTATTGCTTGCTCAGATAAACCCTGTTCAAAAGTAAACAGAAGGATGGTAAGTTGTGCTCGATACATCTCATCCAATAGAGCTAGCTCTAGCTAAACCTCAAACTTTAAGTAGAATAATAAACTGACAGGCTAATAGAAAATGCAGTCTTTGTGCCAAGCAGATCATTAGACTAGTATCTTTTGTTCATCGCGAAAACATAGGACCAAATCAACTGTCTAAGATTTTGACTCACTTGCCAACATACATCTGGTCGACTTTGCCTGACAATTTCCGACTAAACAGGAAACATGCAAGAGAATTCTCAAGATACAGACCATATTGAAGAGGATCAAAATTGTCAAGAAGTCTAGGCTACGATGAAATCACCAACTCAAAAAAGCTTTATGAGTGACACAGCCAACTAAGCCTCCCAATGATGGAGAATATACATGGTATAGATGCCATAGTGTTGGAAAATGAATATTGAAGCAAAAATAGGATAACGTACCCTTTGTGCATAGGCATTTATTAAGGCATTATACATGGTTGAGGAAGGTTTTAACCCGGCAGACTTCATGAGTTCCAAGCACTCTATTGCATCACTAAACCTCCCAGACTTTCCATATATATCTACAAGTGTGGTGTACGTCACAATATTAGGCAACAAACCCTGACTCTGCATCTTCCCCAACAAGCTCTTCACATTGTCCCATCTCTCCTGTTCTCCAAATGAATTTATCATAATATTATACGTAGTAGTACATGGTGAATACCCTCTTTCCTTCATTTCCTCAAACAATTCCTCTGCTCTGCCATGCCGCCCTGCTTTACAATGGCAATCTATAAGCGTATTCCAAGTAACAGTATCCGGTTTGATCCCCTCTGATAACATTCGGTCAAACGTATCCATTGCATGATCAAGACAGTCATACTTCCCAAAAGTATCAATCATCACATTATAAAAATGCCTATCAGGTTGTATCCCATTACTCTTCATTTCCCTCAGAACCTGAAACGATCTTTGCCATTCTCCTTTGTTTCGATAACTAGCTAAAATCCTACTATAAACAAAAGAATTCGGCTGCACATTATTCGCTTCCATCTCTTTCAGAACAATTCTTGCACTCTCCCATCTGCCGGCATTCGCATAAGCATCAATTAAAAGACTATAAGTATGCTCATCAGGTGAAACCCCACTTCTCTCCATCTCGGATACAACTAACTCTGCATCTTTCAAAGAACCCGCTTTCACATACCCTTTGAGAAGCGCATTATAAGCTCTGGTTCTCGGCTTCAATCCAGTTCCTTTCATTTCCTCGAAAACAGCTTCAGCCTCCGCAATCCTCCCACAACAGCCTAACGAATATATAACCGCCACAAGAGTAGCCGTTTTCGGGTTCAACCCAATTGCCTGCGCCATAGCTAAAAACTTTATAGCTCGGCTTGGGTCATTCGCTTTAGCGAAACCAACGATTATATCATTCAAAAGCTGACCATCGACCTCAATTTTATCACACTCAATTTCTCCATAAAGCTTCTGCAAAAGAGATGAATCAATCTTGTTGCTTCTTGTGAGAGATTGAATTATCAAGCTGTAATTCACGAAATCCGATTGGTAACCATCTTGACGCATTCTTGACATCAGATTAAGAGCCTTCTCGTGATCGTTGTTGCGTGCGCAGGCGTTGATTAAGGCGTTGTATGTTAAGGGAGTAAGGGTCTGCCTCTGTGAGAGTAAAAACGCTTCATACAGCTTCTCGGAGCGGCCAAGCGCGTGGATTAGAATCGAGTAGAGAAGCTCGTAGGAGAAACAAAGGTTGTGTCTTTGAAGCCATGAAACGACGGCGTACGCCAAGTTGATAGAAGAGGAGGAGGAGGAGGAAGAAGAGGAACATAGAGATTTCAATAGAGAGTGCCAGAGAGAAGCAGGTACCGCGCGGTATGACTCGGCCAGCTGGAACTCGATAGGGTCGAGTGAAGTGGGTGAGGCTGAGTCGGAGTCCGAGTCAGACTCCGAGTTGGACCTGGAGAGGTAGTTGAGCAGTGGAGTGAAGTCGTAACGGCGCTTGTGGAGAGAAAGAACATCGCTTTGGTCATCATCTTCATCGCCATACCTGTTTCTATCTTTATCTTTATCGATTGAGAGGCTGATGGAGGCTTCCGCGGCTGTCGCGGCGGCAGCCGTGTGGATGGATGTTTGGAGACTGACGTGGAGGCGTGTGATTGGAGAAGATAGTTGAATAGAGGGGAAGCGAGCGGGGAGTGGTGGTGGCAGCAGGAGCATTCTCTTTATTTTTTCTGCGTTGCTAGGATTTCGGAGGAAGAGCGAAGGAATTTGCCTTATCGGTTCTTCGCCGGTTAGTTTTGTGGTGCTGACCGTGCCGAAGCAGATTTTTTTTTTTTTCAAATTAACAATAAATTGGAAATGCATGACTATTTAATAAAGAAAATATAACGTGTATATCCTGTAATTACTCGCGCCATACGGGATCCGCTACGGATGAGATTTTTCCTTTTCATTAATATCTTCAAAAGATGATAAAAAATTTAATAGTATAATTTTCTTCATTAGAATTATCAAAACCATGTTATAAAAATTTAAGTGATTCCACCGAAAGACATATAATTAGATTTTTTTTCAGGTCATAATTTCTTTTATCATTATTAGCAATTAAGAAAATAATTAAGTATGATATTTTTATCAATATTTTGCATGACAAGTTTGATAATTTATCAATCTATTCTCTTTATTATTATTATTATTATTATTATTATTGACATTTGGAGAAGTTAAAAGAGAAAAGAAACAATCTTTTTCATTCTAATTTATGTCATTGGATGTGAACTTGGGAACTTAATGGTAATGGAGTTTTATCCTTTTAAGAGTATTGAAACAATATTTGACAAAATTATATATGTATATATAGTCAAATTATTTAATTTAGTTAATTAAACAATATCAATCACTAAAAAACACATTTAGTTCACATAATGAAATAATCATTCTGTAAAAATAACATAAAATAACAAGATATATAGTTTAATTCAGGGAATAAAATTACTTTTTTAATATTATTTCAATGATTGATTAGTAATAATAATTTTAAAATAACAAATGAATAATCAATAAAACAACAAAAATATCTTTTATTATAATTTATCAAAGTAGTGGGTTTAAAGAAAATATACATAATATTGTAAAACCTCCTAAAAAAACTTAGGCTCAAGCTAAATGATCAAAATAACCTTTTATTACATTTCTAATTATAAAAGGATTATAGTGTGTTTAAGCTTCTAAAGTGTACAATAGAACGTATACATAACGGTGTACTTAAACATTATCGGCTGTTAAAGCTTGGTTAATATCTTCAAACAATTTTGTTAGTCTACTCTCCTCATTTTCTTATTTTTTAAGCTTGCTCTCAAAGTTACCTTTGATTATTTACGAAGTAATGGTAGATATTTTGATGAATCAAACAATCACAGTTGAATATTTTAAAATTATAATATATAGATATAATTATTTAATCGAGCTAACTAAAAAGATATTAATTAAACTTTATTTCCAAATATATAAAAATCAAAGTCAAGGAATGATTTATATCTAATAAATTCATCAATGATCTATATATTATTATATATAATAAACATTGTCTTCACGGCTCAGATACGTCGTCCCTTCCACTTTCCATAATAATTTTCTCTTGATTTCGGTGCTAAGCAAGGAACGATAGGCTTGGTCAGGGTAGAAGATCCTCGAACATTATTGCATTCAGATGTAACATTCTTTCCTGGAGTTGACGAAGTTATGGTATTGTTGTTCAGAGTTATACCAGTGCAAGGAACGATGCTACTGCAATCCAGTTTGATAGCAACGTCAGTCGCAGACGTCCCTTGAAACCCACTGAACGTCACGTTGCTTATCTTCACAGCTGATTTCTGCATGCAAACATTTGTTTTTTGGTGGTTTAGACCAAATATTTGTAATACATTATTCATCAAATTATATTTTCTATTTCAATATATATAAAGAAAATAAATTAAATTTTCCGGAGAAGTTATTATTTATATTATTATTACCCCTTCTGGTGGACAAGTTTGGTGAGGACAGTAATGTTGATCAACGATGATAGGGTTTTGAACGTTTACAAGTTGAATGCCATCGAAGGAAATATTCCTTGCAAACCCAGAACCTCCCTGTAGAAAAGAAAAATGCTTGAGAAGAATAGCGATCAGATATTTTTAATTAATTCTATTAAAAGAAAGAGAAAATTTATATTTATATTTATCTTTATATTTGATATATTTTATTATGGAAGAAAAATATTACCGCCCATGTCTTGATTCTGGCTCCATTCTGTGTTCCATTGAAGGTAGAATTCCTCACATGTACCTCTTCCACCGTGTCGAATTTTCCATTTTTCCCAAGACTTCCCACACTGCAATGATGGAGCACAAGTTTGACCAATTGAAAACATGAATCTTCTTATTAAGTATAGTAATCATTAATTTACTTTACGTTACAAAGAAATATATAAAAGGCTAAATAGAGGAAATTAATGAGAAATTACCTTATTCCATGACCAGGACCGCATGTGATACTTGTGATGTTGAGGTTGGAGGTGCTACCATTGATAGCGATACAGTCATCTCCTATATTATACAAAATTTTTTAGAAATTAAAGGTATAAAAATCAAAATATTATTGCAAATAGTAATACTTTCCTGCTCTCTTTGTCTTTTATATTATTATTATTATTTTCATACAAATTAAAATAAAATTTTTGATTTTAATGTATTATATATTGAAAATTGAAAAAAAAATATAAATATTCAATGTTTTTTAATATAAAAAAGAAAAATGACTAAAAAGTATTATTCAAATTATTCATACAAGGAAGAAAAATAATAATTGAGGTTCAAAAGTGAGTATATTTTATACAAATACCAGTTCCAATGAAAGAATCTGAAATTTGGAGTGAAGAGGATGCAGAGATGTCGATCCCATCGGTGGTAGGACTGTCTTTGGGTGCAATTAGTTGAATATGAGAAATATTCACGTCCTTGCTGCCATTCACGCTAACGTGATTCCCTGGACTATTTAAAGAAGTGATCCCATGCACTTTAAGATTATCACATTTGTGAAACGAGATAACCTGCACCAATAAATTAATATTAACAAGATTTATGCAATAAATTATATAATTAATCTAAAATATTTTATTACCGCTGGTCCGTCCGCACTCTTTTGGTGTCTGAAAATTGAAAAAAAAATAAATAATTAATTAGTTTATAATCAATAATAATGCAAAATAAAAATATACTTTTTCCGCCTTTTTTTTTATCAATCTTTACTTTTGTGGATGTTCCGAAATTAAGTATCTTTTGAAAACATCTGATACTTTTATTTTTTTCTATATTACAAAGTTTTTTTTATTTTTTACATTAAAAAGTATTGAATATTGATATTATAATTTTTTTTTCAAATTTTAACATAAAATAAATCAAAAACCAAAGTTTTTATCTTAATTTTCATGAGAATAAAAACTAAGTAAATATTTAAGAACAGAAAAATACTAAGTAATTAAGTATATATGCATACTTTATTCCACCAGGGAGCACCCTTGCCATCGATCTGTCCTGGTCCATCGACTGTAAGACCAGCTACACTTGAGAAGCACAGCCAGCAACCATTATCACATTTTGTCCAAGTATTATTGTTTGGTGCAACAATATTTCCGAGGACCTGACAAACACATTATTTTTATTTCAGTACAAAAAAATCAAAAAGATTATTCATCAATAAAAGAGATGTGAAAAACTGAATATATAGTTTACTTGAATGTGAATGCTATTTGACTTGCAAGGACCGGAGAATTGAACTTGCTTCAACAAAAAAGTTTTGTTCGAAGGGATTTCCAAGGTTGGATTTGGTGTTTTAGTTGCTGCACAAAGAGCCTTCCAAGCTTTCAAAAAAGCCTACACATGCAAAAATATATAACACACAAATTAATTAATTCTTTTTTTTTCTCAAATATACTAAGAAGAACAATGTACGTGCTTCAAAACCTAAACTGAAAATGTTTCTTTAATTACCAGCGAATCATCTGTTTTTCCATCACCAACAGCTCCGAAATCAGTGACATTAAGGGATTGGCAATTAGCAATCCCAAGAGCAAAGCTAAAGATCATAAAAGCAGTAAACATCGCCTGCAAAGAGAAGAAAGAAGAGGAATAATTAAGAAAACCTTCGAATGATGTACACATTCATAAAAAAAAAAAAAACATAGCCACGAATGTTATTGAGGTTTCTAAATTCGAAAGGCTTCTCACCATCGCACTCAAAGCTTTTCTTCTTTCTTTGATTGGTAAGTGAGAGTAATGAGTAGGGTTTTGTGATACTTCTAGCTAGTTTCTTTGCTATTTATAGCGGTGTGCATGCATGGATTTAACTCCTAACTTTGAGAGATTTAATTAATTATTTACAAGTTAAATTTGGTAATAAATTTATTTGAAAAAAAAGATTCTTTAATAGATAAGATTTATTGGTGATGTCCACATCAGCATATCTTATCCGTGATATTATTTTGAGACGGATTAATAAATTTAGATAAAATCCAAATTATCTATTGTTGTTGGGCCTTACTTAAAATACATTATGGCCCATCTTGCAGCCAGGTTTTCCTATTACCGGGCCTAGGTCCAATCTCTTACCCAATGGGTTGCCTTGTGAAACCAGCCTCTTTAGACTACTATCAGGCCTGGTTTGTCTTTTTATTTTTGCTTTTAAATTTTTTTAAGTGTTCTAGTTTATTTTATTTTAAATATTTAATATTTGATTTTAAAAAATTAAGCAATGTATATTATAATCGTTTTTAAAATTTTCTATTAAAAAATCAAAGTTACAACAAACACAACCAAAAACCCTTGCCGCTAATTTTATAAAACAGCCTGGGTTAGGGTTTTGAGGAAGCGAGCCGAGGGTATCAATCAAAATAGAATGGGGGCATAAGGATTTTCTAGCTTTCCCGGAAAGTGGTGAACTCCTGTCGTGGTTAGCGGTGAAAAAGAGGAGCTTCAATCAGTTGAGTTGGGTGTCTTTGCATTGGACTACTCGCTGGGGTTTCTAAAGTGCAGCTCGCCATGGGGGGATCTCGAGTTCAAGTCAATAAGCCTCACAAGTCTCGTTTCTCCTCCAAATCTTCTCGCAATCTTCACAAAGTCTCTCAAAAAGGTACTCCGGTTATGTTCTAATTGAATAGTAAAATTTATAACAATTTATTTATTTTCCTTACTTTGCGATTTTATCACTTTTCTTAATATGACTTTTGAATCTTTTGGTGAATTAGATAAGAATCGGATCGCAAAATCAGACCGGAATGCAACGAAGGGAGCCCGA